AATGACAGATGGGTTGTAATCAAATCCCCTATTTTTTAAAAAAGATCCAACCGGCCGGGCCTAAATTGGCACTCTAGAGCGGCACCGGCGGGGCGTGGTGCACACACACAGACTCACTCACACTCACGCACACACGCACGTTCAGGGTCGCAACCCTGCGATACTGTACTGAGCAAGATGAGCACGCGGTGCCAAACATGCGCTTACCTGCCGACACACACACGTACACATACACACACACACACACACACGCAGACACTCACACACACACAGGCTCACACGCGCACACCAGCGTCAGGCAGACGAGACAAGGAAGTCATTTGAAAAACCAAGGTCTCTTCTACGAAGAAGAAGCAGCGGCTGCTGGGCGTGGCGTGGCGGGGCGTGGCGGGGCGTGGCGGGGCGCGGTGGGGTGGGGCGGGGGGGGCGGGGTGGGGCGGGGTGGGGCGGGGCGGGGCCGCGACGTCGCGGAGCGTCTTCCACTCCGAGACGGATGATTACCGTCTCATATCGGCGCGGCGCGGCTCGCTCCGAGTCGGTCTACCCGCGCCCCGGAGCGGAGTCGGAGGCGGAGGCTCGTCTCGGTGGTCGAGCAGTCGAACAGTCGAACACGTCCACGACGGCGGCGCTGTGTAGCGTCAAGCTTCTGTCTCTCTTTTGTACCTCACATTTTAAAAGATGTCCTTAAATCGCGTAAAACGGCTGCAGTAAACGTTTACTCGGCGCAACAAGCTGCAGGCATCTGCAGACTGATTCCGAGAGACGTGTTCGTCGCTCTGTCTCTCCCCTGGGACGCGCCGCGAGTGCGACAGAGACAGAGCGGCGAAAACGACTCAGGGAATCAGTCTGCTGGGCGCACTCTGGTCAGTGACGCGGAAACAAAATGAAGGCATCCGGTATCGTCGGCACCGCCCCGGCCAGCCGCCCCAACGGGGCAGTTCCAATGGTAACAGCGCTAACGACGGGGCTAAACGGTTCGGAAGCCAGATCGCTCCTGTTGGATGCTGGAGGTCCCTAGAAACGCACTAGCGATGCCCGCGGCGACGAGAGTGACTCTTCTGCTCCACTGCGGTTAGTTCTGCTGAAAACTGCTGCTACATTACGAAGCCTAAAGGTGGGCAACCCATACGGCAGAGCGCACAGTGGGCCAGAAGACCCGTGAGGCGGCTAAAACTCTAGCCGCTTTTTGAGCTCCACAGTCGCAAAGCAAGACTCGAACCGAACGTGTGATCCCACCAATGGATTGTCCTCTGAACGAGGAATCCGTTGATGGGGTCACACGTTCGGTTCGAGTCCCGTTTCGGGACCCTAGGGCTCAAAACGCGTGTGGAACTTTGGCCGCCTCACCGGTCTTCTGGCACACTGTGGAGCGCCCAGCGCCGCTTGCTCCCCCTGGAATTCGAACGCCCGACGCCCCTGCCTGGGCAGTGCCTACCCCAACCTGCCCTATCGGCTGACACATAAGTCATGCGGCACGTGCGGCGGTGAGCCGTGCCCGTCCAATCCGCACGGCTTTATTTGAAATTTTAATTCCCCTCATGAAGTAAGGCACAGTCCATCGGACGACTCGTCGAAATAAATCGGCGGCGAGTCAGGGGCTCTGCCGGGAACACACACGCACTCTACGCGGCTTGCGGTCTCTCTCTCTCTCTCTCTCTCTCTCTCTCTCTCTCTCTCTCTCTCTCTCTCTCTCTCTCTCTCTCTCTCGCACCCCTGCGGGAGGCACCGCGAGTGCGAGGGAGACGGAGTGACGTGCGCGACTCGGCGCGCGAGTTATGGCCCGGGCCTGGTCATTACTCAATGAGGAGGGCCGCGTCCGAGGAATATCGCGAGGTGATCCCCTGCGACCCCGAGCAGGACGAGCAGGACGAGCAGGACGAGCAAGCCGACCAGCGTGTGAACGAGGAGGAGCCAGCCGCCAGAACCGCCGGCTGGTGCTGCCCGAGCCTGCAGACCGATTCCGAGAGTCGTTTTCACCACTCTGTCTCTCTCGCACTCAAAAGGCGTCCCGTATCGGTGCGAGAGAGACAGAGCGACGAAAACGACTCTCGGAATCAGTCCGCTGGCGGAGGGTCCCGACGGAGCCCCTGCAGCGCTGGCGGTAGGCCGTCCCGCAAGGCACGCCCGTGGAGACGGCGGCCTGCCCAGCCGGGCGGCAAGCTTGGCGGCAAGCCTCTCACGCTTCGCGATTCACGGCAAAACGGCGCACGCTTCCCAGATGCATTTCTCCGAGCAAACAAAACGGAAAAGGCGTTTGCTGTTTTAATGCACGTTTGCCGACCAAAACAGCCCCGCCGCCTCGGCGAGCAGGCCGGGCAGGCCGAGTGCTTGTCGTCTAAGAATGGTAATTGCCGCTGGTCTTACACTCGCCCGCCAAGGAGCGTTGTCCGGACTGGACGACCGAATTAAGTCGTAACATTTCCATTACCACTGATCGCCGCCGCCGCGCGCTGGAAACGAGATCGCGCGCGTCTGTGTGCGTCTGTGCGTGTCTTTGCGTCTGTGTGTGTGTGAGTGTGCCGACCGCGTCATCACAGGGCGTGGCGCCGCGCCGCGTGGCGGCAACACTTCGCACACACATCACGATGCCTATCTAGCCGACCCGGCCGCCGTTCAATATTTACCTAATGCATCGGCCGAGTGCAATTAATGGTGCGCCTGCCAGGTACTGGTGTAGTGGCGGCGCTGTGTGTGTGTGTGTGTGTGTGTGTGTGTGCTCTGCAGCTTTTTGTGGTGCATCCCGCTGACCGGCCGTGGAGCGCTCCGCGTAATGAAGGTGGCCGTCGTACGGGACGGCGGCGCGGCCCGGCGGCCCCGAGGCGGCGGCGTGGGCGGAGGAGTGCGCCACGTACAGCGGACTGATTCCGAGAGTCGTTTTCGTCGCTCTGCCTCTCTCGCACCTACACGGGACGCCCCATGAGTGCGAGAGAGACAGAGCGACGAAAACGGCTCTCGCGGAATCAGTCTGCAGTGTGGCGTACAGGCCGGCGGACTCGAAACAACAACGCTCTGGTCCGGCACGCCGAAATGACGGGGCGCCGGCGACAGGCTCTGACAGTGTAACTGCGCCGCGGCGGCGCCTCGCTTGCGGGGGTCTTGGTGGCGGCGGGCTCGGTGCTCCCTGCGGGCCGCGCCGTCGCTCATGTTGGTTGTACTTTTCTTCCAGCGCGCCTCCCTTTTTCTTCTTCTACGCTTTTTCAATTAAATGTGAGGTCGGCGGGGGCTGCTGCGGAGGGCCGGGCCGGCCGGCGGCCCCCGCTGCCCCGCTGCGGCTCCGGATGTACTTAGGGCACTTCCCTACTTGGCGCAGCGCGGCGCGGCGCTGGACCGGCTGGATTCATTACCGAATTTCCGGCAGCAGAGCCGCGTCGACCTGCAGCAGTAGCGGAGGGGCGTGGCCGCGCGCCCCTGGGAGGGAGAGAGGGAGGGAGAGGCAGGTGACTCAAGTGCGGACCCTAGCGTCGTATTCACTTTCAAATTTGGACAAAATGAAAACAGAGAGGGAGAGAGAGGAAGTGGGTGCTTCTTCGACACAACGCCCACCTCCCGACCCCACCCCGCCACGCCCTGCCCGGCCCCGCCCCGCCCCGCCCGGCCACGTCACGCTGGAGACTTTGAATAGCCGAGCACAACATGACCCGAGAGAAGCAAAGCAGCCCAACCCATCCCACGGCGCGCCACTCCCCGCCTCGCCCATCATGAAGACCAAAGGCGTGCCCGCCACGCCCCGCCACGCCCCGCCACGCCCCGCCACGCCCCGCCACGCCCCGCCACGCCGTGATTGTGCTGCTCCCCGCACAGAGCTGCCAATCCAATGCTGCGGCACCATTTTATTTTTTTCGACCTCCTCAATGGAATTGCTGGCCGCTGTCCTGCTGACTGGCTGCTCCCCCCCCCCTCCTCCCCCTCCACGCTCTCCCCCTGGTAGATGACGTTTTTCATGCCGACCTCTTATTGTTAATTGCTGTGAAATTGAATTGGGCGTAATATTTTATTGTGGACGTGAACCGAAAAAAAAGCACGGTTGGGTTAGTTGGTAGCCCGCTGCGTTAGCCTGGTGCGCACGCCCGCCTGCTTGGCTGCTTGGCTGCTTCGCGTCGGCGGTTGGTAGTCCCGAAGGGCACGACGCCCGCGAACGTAAAGCAGTCCTGAAACTGAAACACTCAGGCCAGCCAACTGTCACCCGCCTGTTTTTACTCGGCCGGCTCCCCGGCAAAGAAACTCCCAGGTCGCACAGCGGGTGCGCCTGGATGCCTTTGATCTACTGGTACAAGTTACCCATAATGCGGTGACGTTTCTATGCCAGACATGGGGCACGAGGTGAGGTCAGGCTGCTGGCCAGGCGCTGTCGGCGCTGCCGTAGTTCATCGTGTTCCGATTGACGAATCTTTCTCCTCTACATCATCATGTCCCATCTGCTGCCAGCGATGCAACGGCCCTATCCATCTTCCCTGGCCTACCGTTTTTGCTGTTGTTTGTTTTGTCGTTTTTTTTTTCGCCACGAGCTGCGGGCTGACGTTGACCAGGCACGGCGCGTGGCGAGCGGGCCGGGGGCGCGACCCACCCCTCCGAGGAGACCTCTACGCCGGGGGGGCACCAAAGCTCCCGGCACCGTCTCTGCTCCGCGACTCGCACCTCTTTGAGCATCCACTAGAAACTCCTCCAAAGATACGTCCATGTGATTGCGCTGTGTATGTTTCAGCCTCAAACTGCCGCAGCGGTAAGTTCTCGTCTACTCGGATAGGTGTTTCTAGTGGAGGCGCCGGGACAGGGAGGCTCCGAGCAAGACGTGACGCGGCGCTCGAGGAGTGACTGGTGTTCCGAGAAGAGGGGGGCAGTGCCGCGCCGTGCCTTGCCGTCGTCCCGCCGCGGCCGAGCATATTGACTTTCGCAAACTATAAAGTTTGTTCTGTTGAAGATGTTTGCTCCGCGGTGGGCGCGTGAAAGTGTGGGCGGGGTGTATGTACACCACCAGCAGGAAAAAAACGAGAAACATTGAGTTTTGTTTATATTTTTTTTATTCTTTCAACAACAACTCGTCAACACAAAAAAAGGAACTTGAAACTATACTGTATTGGTAGCGCATGGATAAGTACTAAATATCATGCCAACGCCAGCACCATGATATATTACTTGTCACCACACTACAAATAAATAAGTTCCCTCCGAACAACATTTACAAACGCACAACTATATGTACAACCAAGGACAATATGATTTACAAAAATTTACAGAAATCGTATCTTAATGGACTCATCGTAAAATATCTTATTTATATCCTAGGAATAGTCAACAAAATAAATAAAAACGTCGCATTTTCGCGCTCCAATTAAATTCTTTCTTTTTTTTTACACAGCACCCTTTATCAAATACGTAGGAATGTATCTGCCGTGCCTCCAGCACACCATATCACGAGAAGAATCATACATTGGACTAGAGGCGTACGAAATTGCAAAATTAATCGAAACAATATGGAAGTATTTCGAAACGGCGGTACAAAAATAGAGAAAAAAGTTTGTAAAAATATAAAAATCTACAACATAACGAGTTTTTGTTTTCAAGCTGGTTAAAAATAATTTGTGAGCAAGGATAATCGCACAACCCCTGATTTTTCCGTGGATCCATTTGTGGCCAATACAGCTAGGCCAAAACTCAAACATTCATAAGGGTAAGAAGCCGCGGCCTGACGACCGGCGGAGCGTCCCTTGGAGCCACGCAACGCAGAGGCCCCGGGAAACGCTAGAGATCTTTAGAAATACTTAGCACCTCGTCACCAAGACGTGCCCACAGATCTTTTTCTAAAATACTATTTACAGCACCCATAGGGTAGAATCTTTTGTACTTTACGAAGTGATGACAGTTTTCAAAAACTAAAACTGCAGTCCGCTCTGAAGACTGCAAGCAACATTAATAAATCATCATCCCCAATCAGCTGTTTTTTTTTCATAAACGAAAAAAAAATTATTGCCTTTGAGTCACTTACTTTCACGCATTCTTTCTTTCAGGTATACACAGCCAAGCACACACACAGGCACACAGGGTGACATTCTTTTATTACTGCGTATGGCAAGAATAGCAAACGGCAGTGGTCCCAAACTCAAGCATCCGGCCCTCGCAGTAATCTTAATCAAATTTGTGCAATTAGAGAGTAAACGTTTGGCTTGGAGGTTCGACTGATGTGAGTTTGAAGCCACTGAGAATGATTAAGTAGACGATATGAACACTGGGTTGCTACATCACATAGGACAGTGGCTCGCACCACACTCTGTACTTCAACCTAAACATACACTTTATCAAAAATATGATATAAATTGTTTCTAATCCCATTCTGTCATAAGACGCGATGTCCTATGGGCTTAGAAAGTAAAGGACGGATCAAACTAGACGGTAACACATTCGGCAAAAACAAATGCCGAAAGAAGAACAAAGTCAATTTCAAAATTTCACCCAAAACATCAAATTTTACAGGAAACATTGACGAAACTTGGAAATTCGCATCAGAACAAACACACTCAGTTTCCACTCACAGCAAACAACTTAACCGTTTCGGTGGATTCATCTGACCAGATTCGAAAATACAACAACAACTAACAACAACAAGAGCGTTTGGGCGTGTCACCACGGTGTCAGTGGCGCTTCATGTGCAGCGAGAGGTGGTCGGACCGCGAGAAGGACCGCTGGCAGAGGTGGCACTTGAAGGGCTTCTGGCCAGTGTGCTTGCGGAAGTGGCGCGTCAGCTCGTCCGACCGGGCAAACTTCCACGTGCAGCCCTCCCAGGTGCACTGGTACGGCTTTTCACCTGGAACACCAAAACACCCCAACGGTTAGCAAATGCAGTCTCCGCTGTGAGTCCAAACTCCTTCCGCAGTGCCGCGGCGCGCAGCAGAGACAGCTTGCAGCAGCAGCCATCAAACCGGAGCCTCCATAAAAACACGGCCAATAATTATCATGCACCCGGTGCACTGCACCGCACTGCACCGCACTGCACCGGGCCGCCTGGGAAAGGGGCCGCCTGCCGCCAGGCGGAGGAGCAGCGCGGCGGCATCGCGCGGCCAAATAGAAAACGCGCCGAGGAGAGGAAAAAAAAACCGCCACATGCAACCAGTCCCTATATTTTCAAGCAACGTTTAGAATTAACGGCGGTGGCGGCGGGAGAGGCTGCGGAGGCAGAGTCCGCGAGGAAGAGACCGCGGAGGCCGTGGAGGCAGAGAGGCCGTGCAGGCAGAGAGGCCGTGCAGGCAGAGGCCGCCCCTCCCACAAGGAGGCCCTGATGCAGTAATGAGGCGCGATTTGTTTGGCGAAGACGGCCTGCCCGGCCAGACAAAGGGGGTCAAAGCGGCAAAGCGGGCGGCCAGCGCCTCGGCCAGCGCCCTGCCCGAAGCAGCAGGCTCACTCCGAACACTGCTCTCATCGCTCCGTCCCGCTCGCACTCGAGGGGCGCCACGCGGGGGTGCGAGCGAGACGGAGCGACGAGACACTCGTGCGGTCCTGCTGACACAGCACTCATCCTCGCGGCCCTCGAGGCCGTCAGGCTGGCCGTCGTCGGTCTGGCCGTCGGCTGGAATGCGGAGGGGCTGACTGGCCGAAGCATCTCCGAAACGGCGCCATTATTTCAAATCAGATTCCGAGCGCGGGAGGCGGCGGTGAGAGACTTGTCGAGCGGCGCCCGCCGCCAGCAGACTGATTCCGAGAGTCGCCTTCGTCGGTCTGTCCCCCTCGCACCTATACGGCACGCCCCATGAGTGGGAGAGAGACACGGCGACGAAAACGGCTCTCGGAGTCGGTCCCGCAGAAGAAAGGGAAACGAGATGCGCCGTCCTGGCCAAGTGCGGCGCGTTCTAGCTCGGCAGCGCGAGCCAGGGCGGGCCAGGGCGGGCCAGGGCGGGCCAGGGCGGGGCGTGGCGCTCGCTTGCCCAACGGCCCACACGGTACACTACACTGCGAGGCACGGCCAGGCACGGCCAGGCACGGCCAGGCACGGCACCAAGGCAGAGGGCAGCGGTCCTCAGCCCGGATTGCGCCATGTCACCGCTGACGACATGCGCACTGTGTGTGTGTGAGTGAACCCTCAGTCCTAATGCGGCCCGTATGCCCACCGTGCGGCACAGCGCAGTCGCGGCGCAGCCTGTGCACCTGCACCGAGTTGATGAATGGCCAGGGCGTGGCTAAGCGCGACGTGGCGGCGCGCGGCGCGGTGGCGGCGAGTCGCGGCGAGTCGAGCCGAGGAGCCGCAAGGTCCGAGCCGAGCGCCGCGAGCGGCCAGGTCCTGGGAGAGGTCAGCAAACCTCAACACTTTTTCGAGGCAGCATGTGCAAGGTGTGTGCGCGGCGCGCGGCGCACAGTGGACGACCGCAGACATTACTTTAGCCGCCGTTTAGAAAGGTACTGCAATTCGTGTACATTGCGGCAACTGCCCCCAAAATGCCTCAGAAGGCTCCGCGCGCTCGCCACCGCACGCCGCGTCGCACGCCGCGCGGAGCGTCGAGACTGGGAGCGCCTGCGGAGTTCGGGGGTATGCCGCCCGCCGGGCACGCGTGTCGTCTGCGGACGCGGCTGCCTACCCGCCGGGCGGCCCAGTACCATTACCATTACGGGCTAGACCATTTCAGGCCCGCCAGGCCCGGTCGGTCACGCCGCCCCGCCCCGTTCGCCCAAATTACGGCCAGAGGCTCGTCGTGGCGGGGCGGGGCGGGGCGGGGTGTCCGCAGGGCGGACATCGCCAGCGGGTCGCCGGGTCGAGGTCGTTGACGGGTGGAACGCGGTCCGGGCGCGCTGCGCGCTTTCACGCGAGCCTCTGCGCCACGCGGCCCTGGGCCCTCGGCGTTATCACGCTATACGCGCCGCGTTGCCGCGTGCCGCCATGCTCGCCGCGTCCGCGCACTTTTCCCGCTGGAGAGGCGGCAGGCCGACCGACTCCAGCTGACTCCAGGAAGGGCCGCCTGCCTCTCCAGTCGGCCATAGGCCCCAGTCCCGGCCGGCCGGCGGGCCGTTTAAAAGGAAGTGCCACGGCGGTCCAGAACGGCTCGGCCAGACCGGCCGTAGTGCTGTAGGTGAGGGCACTTGCTGAGTTATATGAGCCATCCCGTGATGACCACCACAGCGCCAACGGGCTTGCAGCGCGCGCCCCGCGCCCGGCCGCCCCGCCGCCCCGCCGCCCCGTCCGGCAGGTGGCCCTGGTGACCCCGCCGCGCGCCGCACCCGGATACGAAAGAGCGAGACGGGGCGAGACGTGGAGGAGGCTCGGAGTGAAAGACTCACGCAGCGCTCCACCTTCTTTAATGATCGCATAACTTACGGCGGAAGACACTCCCCCCGAACTACTCATCCCCCCTCTCCCCTCGTAATGGTCAATTGGTCGCGGTACGATTGCTCTCTGCTCGGTACGGCGCACGGACGGTCCACGCCGTTTTAAGGAGGGAGCGCGCGCGCTCGACAACGCACGCCGACCGGCGCGTGTCGCGGGTGGCCTCAAAAGGGCTGCACTCGCGAACTCGCGACGGGAACGCTCGCCTCTCTGGCTCTGTGTGGTGTGTGTGTGTGTGTGTGTGTGTGTGTGTGTGTGTGTGTGTGTGTGTGTGTGTGTGTGTTTACGTGGAGGTTAAGGCACTGGAAGGGACAAAGGTGTGCGGGGCACGCAGACAGGCGCTGACTGACATACAATCACGCAGAGGGCAGACACACGGACGGCGCGAACTGACAATGAAACGGTGGTCGTGACGTCAGGACGCTCTGGGAAGCTCAGCATGCACTTTGCGGTGGCGGCCGGGCGGACAGACGGACAGACGGACGGACAGGCAGACAGACAGACAGGCCGCTCTAGCCTTGATCTTGATCGGGCGGTGAGTGAACGGCAGCGCCACTAATTAGGCGACTCGATGCCCCGGCCGCAGTACGGCCGCCCTGGCCGAGGCCCTGGCAACCCTCCTGGCCCCAGTGTCGCGTCGCCGCTGACGGGGTCGGCGTGACGCCAGCGTGGCAGTGGCGTGACGCGGACCTGACGGCGCGGCCGGGTGAAGCCGCCACAAGTGCCCCGCGCCCCGGCCGGCGAAAGCCCTTTGCGCGTCCCGCAGAACGCCCTGCGCCGCCCTGCGCCCCGTGGCGCGCGTGACGGTCTTGTCGACGGGGACCTGCCGCGGCCCGGCGGGAACCCTGGCGAAGGGCACGCCGCGGCCCGCAGCCTGATTCCGAGAGTCGTTTTCGTCGCTCTCCCGCACCTCCGCGTGACGCCCCACTAGTGCGAGAGAGACAGAGGCCGACCCTCGGAATCAGTCTGCTGCAGCAGCCTGCAGCAAGCCCGGCTGCGTGCTCGACCCGTCCGCGCCCCGTGACGAGGCCCCCGTCGACACCCGTCCCTCGGGGGGCGAAGCGGCGAGGCGGCCGGGGCAGGCGAAGCGCGCCGCCGCGCCGATCGGACGCTTCCGTCGTGACGCCGTGACGCCGACGAGACACTTTGGCGATCGCGGTGGAGCGGCTGAGCGGCGGGGCCCAAGGCGACTGGCCTCGCACGCCATATGTGTGTGTGTGTCTGTGTGTGGTGTGTGTGTGTTGTGTGTGTGTGTGTGTGTGTGTGTGTGTGTGTGTGTGTGTGCAATCTCCAGATGCCGCCGTCTGGTAGCGCCGCGCTCCCGTCTCCATCCCGCCTGAATGCCGCTTGCCGCAGCCTGCCTCTCTGGACCGATCCCGATTGCCTCGCCTCGTCGCCGCCCCGCCGCCCCTCCAAGAGCAGCCCGGGCTGCTCTGCCTGCTCATCCTCGGCCCGAAAAGCAAAAGCCACTTCGAAAAGCCGTAAAAACGGCAATAATCGGCGGACGACCCGAATCAAGACCCAAGTCGGCCCGCGCCCCGCCGCGCCCGCCGCTCTTTATGGGGCCATTTCGCCGAGAGCTGCCCGGGCCGCCATGGGCCGCCATGGGTCCGCCGCCACCGAATCGGAGCCTTTACGGGCCGCGGTGCGTTCCAACAGGACCGACAGGCCCGACAGGTGTGAAGACGGCCACGCGATAAGTCCACCATTACTCCCTGCTTCGCCATTATCAGCTCGTAACCGCATGAACCCTGCGACTGCCGACTGCGACTGCCGACTGCCACTGCCGACCCAGTGCCCGTGCCGGACTCGCCCGGACCACACACCGGCCGGCCGAAACAGCCTTTACTGCCGCCGGCCGGGCCGCCCAGGACACAAAGTTGTGCCCCTGTGCGGCTGCTGCTGCTGCTGCCGGCGGTCAACGACTCGGATGACTTTGGCACTCTGTTTAGGGATTGATTATCCCGGGCCTCCCAATGAAAGGCGTGCGCGAGGCCGGGGCCTGGCGGGGCGGGGCGTGGCGTCGCAGAGGAATTCCAGGCCGCCGCGACGGACACACCCAACAGCCAGTGCGCGGCCAGGAGGGCACAATGCCCCAAGTAATCCTGACGCATGACCAGAGGCGGCCGGCCGGTCAGTCTGCCACACAGACAGACAGACAGACAGACAGACAGACAGACAGACAGACAGACAGACAGACAGACAGACAGACAGACGGACGGACAACGAAGCCAGAAAATGAAAACGACGTCCAGCAGGCCACACGAAAGCCTGCACGCAAAAGCGCGCTTCCAGCCGGCAAGCCTCCTGGGGCTCAATCGACCGATCTCGGCGACGACCAAATTAAGCCGTCATGACGGGGGCGGGGCGGGGCGGGGCGGGGCGACCGGCGACATGTCCGGGTCGCGCGGTGGATTCCCCAACGGCATGCAAATGCACTCCGCCGAGCAATTAATCCGCGACTGGACGAAACCGCAACGAGGTGCAAGGCAGCCACACGGCGGCCACACGGCGGCCACACGGCGGCCACACGGCGGCCGAGTGCAAAAAACGTAAACAACTCCGGGAGACGACGAAAACGGGCAGAGCGTGGCCGACACCGCGAGGAGCAGGCGGCAGTAACCTCCGCCCCGACACTACACTGCGCTACACTGCACGCCACACGGCCGAGGCGTCGCGTTACCCAACAGTGTGGAGTTGCACTTAAAGAAGACGGCGAGCGCGGAAATCAAGCAGACTCTTTCTGCTAAGTACTGTGATGTGCGATGTGCGGTGCTGCACCGCGACGCGTCGCGACGGGCTGGCTGCCCATGATTTATCTGTCGGGGCGGAGCGCGGAGCGCGGGGGGAGGTGGCGCGGAAGGGAGGCGGCAGCAGCAGCGGCAGCAGCAGCTTTTGTCCAAAGACGCGCCACACTCCGCCACGACGACATGCAGCGCTCCAGCGCGCCAAAACCGCCAGTATGAAAAATATGTCGTGCCGCAGTGCGAAGTGAGGCAAATAAAAAGGAGGAGGACGACGGCGTGCCTGCATTGTCGGAGCCGCACCGCCTGCTCGGCCCGCCAGGCTCCGACCGTGTCCGTGAGTAAGTTATGGTAACACCTCCTGCGTCCTGCGTCCGGCTGGGTGCTCCCGCTCGCGGGGCACCGAGCTCGGCCCCGTCAAAAAGCACCCCGCCGCCGCACTGTGGGCCAGAAGATCGGTGGAGGCGGCCAAAACTCTAGACGCGTTTTGAGCTCCAGAGGCGCTAAACGGGACTCGAACCGAACGTGTGACCCCATCAACGGATTGCTCTCCGAACGAGGGAATCCATTGGTGGGGTCACGCGTTCGGTTCGAGTCCTGTTTAGCGACCCTGGAGCTCAAAACGCGTCTAGAGTTTTGGCCGCCTCCACCGGTCTTCTGGCCCACTGTGCGCCGAGGACCGCCCGCGGGTCCGCTCCTCCGCTCGACGCACGGCAGAATGGGATCGTGACCGGCTTGGTGACGCGCGCGAGCGGTGCCAGAGTGCCAGGTGGACCCGGGCCGGGGGACCGGCGGTCAGCCTGCCGCACTTGTCTCGGAGGAGGCCGCGCCGCGCCGCCGGCCGACGCAGGTGGCGATAGCATCTCGCTCGGCGCGGTCTTTATTCCCCTGCACTGTTAAATCCAAATCGACGGCCGAGCCTGCCGAGCCTCGCAACGGCCAAGCGCGAGGCGCGGAGAAATCCAAACTGAATTACCAGTGGTGCAGTGCCGCGCCGTGCCGCGCAGCAGGTTCATTCCGGAGCGGTGCCTCGTCGCTCTGTCTCTCTCGAGCCCCTGCGGAGCGCCCCGTCAGTGCGAGAGAGTCAGGCTGCGCCGCCGCCAAAGGGACGCGAAATTTAAAAGCCGCGGTGGACTCGGCGATCGCGCGCTTACTGGGTCATGGCAGCCGACGGCCACCGTCGGGACGCGACCGATCCGCCACGCCACGCCCCCGCTCGCCACTCCCATGCGTTTACGTGTGTGTGAGAGAGAGAACGAGAGAGAGAGAGATAGAGAGATAGAGAGAGAGAGAGAGAGAGAGAGAGAGAGAGAGAGAGAGAGAGAGAGAGAGAGAGAGAGAGAAGAGAGAGTGAGTGAGTGTGTGTGTGTACTCCTGGCGTGGCTGCAGTGGTGCTCTACAGGATGCCGCTCTTATGGACCGAGTACACACACACACACACACACACACACACACACACACACCGCAGAGCGTCCGCCCCACAGCAGTCCGCCCGCCGCCGCGCGGCCATGCATCGCCACACATTCGAACGCGAGCAAACAAGGCCATGCAACGCATTGCAGATCGCGTCCCCGTGTGTGCGTGTGTGTTCGTGTGTACCGCGCCTGCATGTGTGGGTGTGTGTGTGTGTGTGTGTACCTTTCACCGTATGCATGGTGAGCGGTACATGTCATGCCCCGGGCCGACACCGAGTCCTTTAGACCCGTCCCGTCTCCTTTCGGTGCAATAAAGTCGTCTGCAGGGAGGGGGAAGGGAAGGCAGTGCAGGTGTGTGAGAGAGAGGGGCGGGGGTGGCCGTGATGAACCGTGCGAGTACACACACACACACGGACGCCCTGCACCCACACTGTGCACACAGTCCGCTCCAAGGCCCCCGCGCCCCGCGCGTGTCCCAAAAGGCCGCGGCTCAAAAATTAAATTTTCCATACTTCACGCGCGCGGCTCCGTGGCCTGGCCGGGCGGTGGTTTGCAGAGTCGTGGGGGGGGGGGGGAGGAGAGGCGGAGATGCTAGGCGTGGTCCAGCCGTGCCGCGCCGTGCCGCGCGCCCTGCCGCGGCCAGCGCGGTTCCCACGGGCCAGGCCTACGGCTGGACTAAGGCCGACACGCCGGGCACGGGCACGGCGCGCTGCGGACTCGCCGCGAGCTGTGTACCTCCGAGAGGAGGTGTGGCGGGGCGTGGCGGGGCGTGGCGGCCAAAGGGCATGTATAGGTGCGAGCAGCCCGCCCGGCCCGGCACGGCCCCGCGGCAGTGGGCAAAACGGCATTCTTCGGGAAACGCCGACATCATAAAACACACACACACAAACACACACACGCGCGCGCGCGCCCGCACCTACACTTACATAATTCCGATAGCTACAACGCGGCGCGGCTGTCGCGGACGTGCAGTCGACGCACTCGTTCGTCGGCGACGGTGATGTCAGTCTGGCGGGGCGTGGCGGCGCGACGGACGCATCGGCCCGTGCGCCTGCATAACGAGGACGACGCCGGGACGCCGGGACGCCGGGACGCCGGCCGCGTTGTCGGCGTGGGTGTCTCCAGTGTCGCGTGGCCCCCGGTGACCGCGCCGCGACCGCGCCCGCCTCGGCCACGCCCTCCCCGCAGATAACCTCAGTCTCGCGGCTCGCGGCTTCGCCGCCAGCCTCACGGCGATCCGTGTACAGACGTGTTGTACAGACGCGCACAGTGGGGCAGGGCGTCATGCCACGGCGCTTCCCGGAACGGCCCGCCGGCCCGCCTCCAGACTCACCTGTGTGCGTTCGCTTGTGCGCCTTGAGGTGCGAGCTCTTGGTGTACACCTTGTCGCAGCCCGGCACGTCGCAGCGGTGCACCTTCCGTCTCCGCAGCGAGCCGCCGTCGCCGACGTCGCCGACGTCGAGGTCCATGTCGAGGCCCGCGTCCGTCTCCGACGGCGCCGTCTCGGAGCCGTTGGGCGACGAGGCCCCGGAGCCCGACATCGCCGACAACGGCGGCAGCCCGATGGTCAGGGCCTGGTGATGGTGGTGGTGATGGTGGTTGCCGAACACCCTGTGGGCACATGAGGAACCCAGTTAAAGAACAGCGTGTTGAAGAAACGCCTCGGGATGGCCCTCGTTGTGCAAGTCGGGCGCGGACGGGCAGCGAGTCTGCTTGCCCTCGGCTCGGCCGGCCACGCCCCGCAGGCTGTCCAGGCGGTGCAGGCGGGCACGTCCAGCAGGTTGCATAAGGCGCGGATGAGTCACTGCATGGCGGCCTGGCGGCGCACCGCTGCATTTTCCCACAGCGCCGCGCTCTCCGCGCCCGATGACACCCTTGGGCCTCGGCATCTCGGCGGCCGCGTCGGCGCACTCGCGGACCTCCATCTCGCACGAGCAAACTGCGCCCGCGGCTACAGACTGTAATGCCCTGGGCGCGGCGGGGCGCGGCCGAGTGGTGCATTGTTCCGAGAAAGGGCGGGGCGGCCAGGGCGTGGCAGGGCGTGGCGGGGAGGCTCCACGACGTGGCCCCACCCGCCCCGCCCTGACTTGCACCACCACGACGGCCGCGCCCCGCCACGCCCCGCCACGCCCGCCACGCCCGCCACGCCCCGCCGATCCACGGACCCATACCGCACATTTGCATGTCTGGGAGGAGTCGGCGTGGCGGGGCGTGCTGGGGCGGGGCGGGGTGGGGTCGCTAGCCGCGGTACGCCCTTAGATGACGGAGTCCTCGAGGATGAGGATCTCGCTTTATCTCGCCGAGGATGTGCTGTGGCCGAGGCCCGTCCCGCCCCGTCCTGCCCCGGGGCCCAGCCCGCCCCGCCCGCCCTGCCACATGTACTCCGTAACGATACTCATCGCCGGCCAAGTGAGTGAGTGCGAGGCGTTTCAGCGACTAACAGAGTAGGTGCTTGGACGGGGGCGTGGTGGCGGGGCGTGGTGGCGGGGCGCGGTGGCGGGGCGACTCACGAGCAGGCGATGAGCACAGGTTTACGAGGCCCTGCCCTGCCGTCTAGAGTGTAGGTGACTGGGTGCGTGAACACAAAAGGTAAATAAAACTGTCGCTATTGTCTTGGGGAAGTCCTTGCACTGGCACCGATTCCCTGGCCAAAAGGCCAAAACGCCCCAGACTCAAAACGCTGTGTGCGGAGCACACGCGTAAAAAGTAAAAAGCAAAAATAAACGGCGCACCGACCAAACGACACGCCAGTCTCTTTCCGGCGACCGTTCCGAGCCCAACCAGGCCAGGAGGAAGATGACTATTATTGCAGCCTGGCCTGGGCAGCCTAGCGTGGCGGGGCGTGGCGGGGCGTGGCACTGGGGCCCCGCGAGGGCCGCGCCCTGCCGCGCCCTGCCCCGCCCCGCGCACAGCAGCACACAACGCTCTCACGACACGGAGCTAGGAGGGGTCACGTCGGGGTCAGCCCGCTCTCTGCACGCCGGCCGCGCCCGGCCGCGCCCCACCACGCCCCGCCACGCCCAGCCACGCCCGCCACCGCGCGGCGATGGCGATCCGGTCCGCGGGACGATCCCGTCCTGCATCCCGTCGTGTCGGCGTCTCGGCGCGCCATCCCGGGCCCGCCCATCAAGGTCGAGCGGAGAGCGCGGCGAAGCCGCGACACACATGCACTGTACTGCACACGTACTCGCGTCGCGGCGCCGCCACTACGGGGCGTCGTCGGCGGGGACGGGACGCCGGCGCGGCCAGCGCAGCGCCAGCCGCGCCAGCCAGAGCGGCTTATCTCGGCCGCGATATGTGTCGCACCGCGTCGCACCGCGTCGCACCGCGTCGCGCCCGGCCAGGTGTGGCTTCGCGCTGTGTTTGTGTGTGCGCCTCCTACCTTCACACACACACACAACACACACACACACACACACACACACACACACAGAGTCACACGCTGTGAAGTGGCGTCATCGCCGGGACGACGCGACGCGCCCGTCGACGCCCCGCCCCGCCCGGCCCGTGGAGAGCCCCGCCCTGCCCCACCCTGGCGATACTCACAGCGACGCGTCCTGTATCCTGGTGAGGGACAGCAGCGTGGTGGTGCCGGTGCGCAGCGACTCGAGGCATGAGGACAGCGTGTCTGGCGGCGGCGAGGGTGGCGACGGCGGCTCTGCAACCACAGGCGGAGAAAATCAGCGAAAATGCCTTACTTTGGATCGGCTGGCGGCGCCGCACAGGCCTGCAGGGCCTGCAGGGAGATTAGGGCCGCGCCTTTCGTTAGCACTTGAGCCGCGCGGCCACAGGCACGCGGGGCGGGGCGGGGCGGGGCGGGGCGGGGCGTGCCGCTGCAGTGTACGTTACGGGTGTGGCCGGACCGCGCGGCCCGGCAGCCCCACTCAGGGCGTGGTCCCCAGGGCGTGGCCCCCTGGGAGGGGCCGCCGGCCGACGCCCTTTGGACGCGCGGTCCGGTCCGAGTCCCGGCCGGCCGGTGTGCCCGGCTCTTGTTTTCGAAGCGCGTCTTCCTTCCCCACGTTAACAGCCGCACCGAAAAACCAGGCACTCGCACCTGGGCAATAATTTAATCTTTTTTGGGGGCTTCTCTCCTCTCTTCTCTACCCGGACGGGACGGCTGGCTCTTCCGGTGGCATCCACTTGCTCGGTCAGTCAGCGTCGCCAGGGCGTGGTTAGCCGGGCGTGGCGGAGAGCGGTCGCCGGGGCGTGGTGAGGGAGTGGCCGAGGCGCGGTCTCTGGGCGCGGTCGCTGGGCGTGGTCGCTATGGGCGTGGTCGCTGGGCGTGGGGTCGTTGGGCGTGGTCGCTAAGGGCGTGGTCACTAAGGGCGTGGTCGCTAAGAGCGTGGTCGCTGGGCGTGGTCGCAAAGGGCGTGGTCGCAAAGGGCGTGGTCGCAAAGGGCGTGGTCGCAAAGGGCGTGGTCGCAAAGGGCGTGGTCGCAAAGGGCGTGGTCGCAAAGGGCGTGCGGTCGAAAAGGGGCGTGCGCAAGGCGGGGTCGCAGGCGTGTCGCAAGGGTGGTCGCAAAGGGCGTGGTCGCAAAGGGCATGGTCGCAAAGGGCGTGGTCGCTGGGTGTGGTCGCTGGGCGTGGTCGCTGGGCGTGTAGTCGTAGGGCTTACTCATTTCGGTTGGGCCTATTTTTGACCTTGCAAAGAAGAGTATCTCAGCTTATCACAACTAAGTGTTTAAAGAAATTCTTAAGATAAGCTTACATAGTACTTGGTAAGGTTTAAAGTAGTATGCGCGGTCGTCAGCGGTCGTCAGGTCTTGGTCGCCAGGGCGTGGCGGGGCGGGGCGCGGTCGCTTGGGCGTGGTGGCCGGGGCGTGGCAGGGCGTGGTCGCCGGGCCGTGGCCAGCGATGGGGTGTGCCCTGAGGCGGAACTATGTATCATGCTTGGCGTGGCAACTACGTGCTCCGTCACCGCGAGGCGCGGCTCGCCGAGGTGTGGCGCGGCGCGGCGCGGCGTGGCGTGGCGGGGCGTGGTGGGGCGTGGCGGGGCGTGGCGGGGTTCATGGCCGCGCCATAGGTCACGGCTCATCCCAGCCCATCGCGCGGCCCTGGCGACGCTCTGGCGACTAAACCGGACGAGTAGCCAGCCCCGTGCAGGCCTCCACGCCCCGCCCCGCCCCGCCCCGCCCCGCGCCCGGCCGAACTGAAGCAAGGCGGTTGACATCGCGGCCGTGGCGGCCGTGGCACACAGCCATACATTTCGGGGAGAAGGACGACGGGGCGCGGAGGCGAGGCGGTGGGGCATTGGCTTCGGCTCTTTCCAGCAGCCTGACACTCCTGACACTTGGTGCTTTTACTTTTTGCACACGCACGCGACCTGGTCCGAGTCCTGCCGGCTGCAGGCAGGCTGCACAGGCTTCCGTCCGGGCCTTCCTCGAGCCGAGCGCAGGCAGCACGGCACCTCCGGCACAAGGTCGCGCACGGCAAGTCGACGGAAAGAAGGAAAAAAACAAGCCGCGAAAAAAGAGGCGCGATGATGCACCCACCGGGCAAGAAGTCAAAAACGCGCGCAACATGTTTGCAGTAAATAAGCGCCAGGGGTATCGGCTTCCTCGTAAAGGGAGTCTCCGCTTCGCGCGCTTCGCGGCCGACGGCGAGCTTTTCGCGCCGGCTTCGCAGGTGGTCCCCGCGGCGGTGGCCGGCGCCGCCCTGCAGTGCGTCGAGTACGCGGTCGGCCCGGCTGCCCCGCACCGGTTCCTCAAACAGCCATACGGCGTGCATGCGGCGCGCCGGCACGCTAGGCCCGGCCAAGGCCCGGCGGAGCTTCGGCGAGGCAGAGAAGACGACTCTCCCCATGATTACGTACCGCCATGGCGGCACCGATACCGATACCGAGACCACCGCGCCGCTCCCAAACTCAATTTCAGCGGCAAGGGAGACGAGGCCGCGCCGGACACCACTGCAAGTCGCCTTGCCGACGCACCATTACGCGTGATTGTTTTTTCCTGCCTCGCTCCGCACCATGCATGCTCCGCACCATGCGTGCTCCGCACCGCGCGGAATCACACACGATCTTAAAAGTGGAATAAGCCCGCCGGCCGGCCGGCAGGCCGTGCAAGTGCAGCCAAATTGAATCACGTCTCCCCGCGGACGGCCAGGACGGCCGGGACGGCGGCAGCATGGCAGCTCGGCTCGTAAAATTCCAGAGCCCACCACCGGTACCAGCACACCAGTCTTGCCGCCGTCCTACCGTCGCCGCTGCATATGCGTTCCGGACGAGTACCCCACCGGACCTCGAGGGGGCGGTGCCGGGGGCGGGGCGGGGGCGTGGTCGGGGGCGGGGCGGGGCAGGGGGGGGGGCGGCGGGCGGACCTGCCAGGCCGCGAGGCTGCTGAAGGTCGGGGGTCAGATCCGCTCCACTGCCCGCCTGCCGTTCTATCCCATGTCCAGTCAGGCCGGCCGCTCCCCGGCCGCACCGAGCGGTCCCACTCGGAAGTCCCGGACGGCCGGAATGCAGGCCAGCCTCGGGCCAGGCCGGGCCAGGCCCTATGCGTAGCAGTGGCGTGGCGGGCCGAAGCCGCACAATCAGCTTGGACTCTGGGCCGGCCGCGAGGGTTGCCTACCCACACGAGTAAAAGGGCCACTTGTGGAGGCGCCGGCGCGACAGCGCGACACACCGCAAACAGGCGCCTTTCCACTGCACTCGGCACACTCCTTGGCCGCAACGACAGACACACACACACCTACACTCTCTCACACACACACACACACACAACACACGCGCACGCGCGGCCTGTTGTCTCGGCGCCGCGGTTATCTCACACAACAGGAACGACCTTGGAGGCGCTCAGGTGCTCCGCGGGGCTGGCGGGCTGGCGAGGCCGGCGGCGCTCGGTGGGGCCCATCAAGTACGGCCAAAGCCATCCCAATCAGTGAGTCACCGCCTTCATTCGAAAGCAAAGCGGCCGATCTTATGCTGAGTCGTCCTCCCTTCCGCGTCCCGCGTCAGTCCGAAGGTGTCCCGACGCAACTTGTCCCCAGCCAGGCCAGGCCACGCCGCGCCATTCCGTTTCGCCGCGCGTCGATTTTTCCTTTCCTCTCGTCTCCGCTCGCCGCTCACGCTTGCGCGCGCGCGCATGAAAACACGCACGCACGGCACGGACAGCCTCATAATCGGTAATTGCTCCACGTACACACACTCGGTACTCGCGGTACTCGGTACAGTACTTGCCGTAACTCTCGGCAGGTGCTGCCCGCCGCGTCCCGCCGCGGCGCGTCGAGTCGATGAGGTCACAGGTCGTACGCTCTCGCACATCACCCGGCGGGCCGTCAGGCGGCAGACGGATTCCGAGAGTCGTTTTCGTCGCTCCGTCTCTCTCGCGCCGCTATGGCACGCCCCATGAGTGCGAGAGGGACAGAGCGGCGTCTGCAGGCCGCCAAGCAGTCCCCGCCAGCCGCGCTAATCAATTCAGCCGAAAGCGTAGACAGGCTCAAGGGCGATCCGCGCACTCCGCTCCGCGGCGGGGAGGGCGGCGCCGGGCGTGGCGAAGTAGGGGCCCAAGTTGGCTGCCAGTCCGGGGACTTCCCCGCGGCGTTTTCGGGCGCCGCGGTCGTATCACGGCGATTGCAGGTGCAGGGCCGGCAGGGCCGCTCCATAGCCTCGAGCCGCCAGCCTCCAGCACGCCCCAGCAGAAGCAGGACCACTACACTCGCTCGCCTCAAACGCGACCGCCGTCCGCCGCGCGAGCTTGCACACACACTGGCACACGCACGCACGCAGAGCACGTGCAGCCGCTGATTGATCCCCTGCCTGTCTGTCTGCCTGTCCGTCTGCCTGTCTGTCCGTCCGTCCGCACGCACTCGGCCACTCCAGCCCGTCGTCCGGCCGTCACCTCGTTCCGTTGCAATTATTCGCTGTTTCCGCTTCACATCGCCATTACGCGACGGTGCTTGCTGTGTCGGCCGATTCCGAGAGTCGTTTTCGTCGCTCTGTCCCTCTCATGGGGCGCGCCGTATAGGTGCGAGAGAGACAGAGCGACGAAACCGACTCTCGGAATCGGTATGCTGGCTCCGTCTCACCGCGCTACGCCGCGGGCCGTGCCACCGCCTGCAGCAGCGCGGCGGCGGGGCAATGAGACCAAATTTAATTTGGCGGCCCCCGTCGCCCCGCCCCGCCCCGCCGCGCCGCCGCGCCCCCCGCGGTGCCGCCGCCACGCCGCTGCAGACCCGGCGGCTTGACTTGCTTGACTTGGCGGCGGCCGATTACCAATCAACAAGGGCGTGTCCGGCGTGTCCCCCGCCCCGCCCCGCCCGGCCACGCCACGCCCCGCCACGCCCTCAATCTCCTGCGAGACATTAGACGTTCAATTAGGCCCGCCACGCCCCGCCACGCCCCGCCGCGCCCCGGTTCAGTCTCTGAGGGAAACTCGTAGACTACTGGCCGGTCGAGTTGACACGCCCGCGCGGCTTGACACGCTGAAACGTGCGCATTAGGGCAGCAGGGCCACCCAGCCCGGCGTGCCCGGCGCCATCATCCGGTCCACAATGCCGGCCGCAACGGCGTGCTGAGTGAAAGGAGCGGCCAGGGCGCCACCGAGTGCCGTCAGTGCCGCCAATGGGAAACGATTTGATTTGACCCCCCGCGCGCGCGTATGGGATAAGGAAAAGATACCCATCGGGCATTAAGGCGAGGGGTGAATCACTCGGCGTTCTGGTGTACACATGAGTACATGAGTACGGGTGAGTACACCTTAGAAAACTCATAAATTTCACATTTTTAAACGTTTCAAAGGCTTTATTTAGTGTTTCAGACACAAAACCACCAAATCTTACTTCAAACTAGCGAATTTTGCTGAATTTAATCTTGTGAGTACACTGACTACAGGCTTATTTGTACACATGAGTACACCAGTGATTCACCCCTCGCATTAAGGCCCGTGGCGTCGTCGGCCCGGTCGGCCCTGGCGCGCGCCCTCCGTTTGGTCACACCGCGGAGGCAGTCTGTCACGCCCTCGTCACACACGGCGGCGCGGCGCGGCGTGGCGTGCTGGTGCATGGCAGCCTTGAGTAGCGCGGCGCGGCGTGGCGGCGACAATCTAGAGGCCCTGCTGCAGCACCTGTCCGTGCACAGCCGCCGCTCACGCCTAGCCTGCCTCTCGTTAGCGATTTCCACACGGAAACCTTGCCGCCGTGGAAGCGGCGGGTACAGTGCAGTTGTACTGTGCGGTGTACAGTACCCGACCCGCGACCGCGACCGCCCCCCGAAGCAGGAGGCGGAGCAGCGCAGCAGAGTCGTTATCGTCGCTCTGTCTCTCTCGCACTCATGGGCGCCGCTCGTAAGTGCGAGAGAGACAGAGCGACGAAAACGACTCTCGGAATCAGTCCACTGCGCCCTTGGGGCCCTTGGCGGGCAGGGCTCGCCGCTAAGGGCAGTGCCGAGGGCAGGGCACGCCTCACTCCACTTGGCTGCGCCCCGGGCCGTGTCCGCGCCGTGTCCAAGCCGTGGCAGGCGCCGGCCATTTCCCTGATTCGATGTCACAGCCTTGCTTTGTGGAGCCTGCAGGGCCCGCAGCCGCGGGGTTCCCTCTGGTTCCCACTGCCGCGCTGCCGTGCATCGCAGTCACGGCTGCAGCCACGCCAGCCACGCTATCCGTCCATAGGCCAGCGGGCGCCGACGCCAGCCTTGTGTCAACTCCCACAGCCTTCTCCACTCCGTCTTCCAGCGTGCCTCCAGCGTGCCTCCAGCGTGCCTCCAGCGTGCAGGGCCGGCGGCAGCGCGCCTCGCCGTCGAGGAGTCGAGGCCACCGCAGCGACACTGTGATAAGCGCCGAGCGCAGCGCGGCCACTCCCACAACGTCTTCACTCCGCTTCACTCGCCTCCGTAATTTAATCGTCGTCTCGGCCTGTCTCTGTCGCTCCCGGTGCACCTTCTCGCTCAGTCTTTCGCTGCCGCCCTGCCGCCGGATGATCAGCGTGTAGTTACGACAGCGAAGTCGAGCATAAACATGATATAATAGACGCGCGGCGGGTCAGCGAACACAGACACACGCACACACACGCACACACACACGCACGCAAACAGACATCTGCATCGGGCTTTAGAGGGACTTTGGCGGAGACTCCATGCCATTTAGACACGACGTTCACATCGGTACACTTTCACACACACACGCACTCACTAATGCACACACACTTACACACATATCATCGTCGATATGGCAGAGCCCCCGCGCGCGACGTGGGGGAACGCCACGCTGTCTCTCTCTCTCGCTCTCTCTTCACCTTTCCTAAGCCATCTCTCTCTCTCACTCTCTCTTCACCTTTCCGCGCGCTCGGTATATAAACGATTTATGGCATATCAATTATACTTGTAAATGCATAACACATAAGCAATACAGCCGAGACGCGTCTTCTGGATAAGAAGTTCGTTCTCTCTCTCTCTCTCTCTCTCTCTCTCTCTCTCTCTCTCTCTCTCCTCTCTGTGGGGACTCGACTCACCATCCATCTACTGCTCGCACTCTCACGCACACACTCGCACACACACACACACACACATGCACACACTCGCACGCTGCTTCACCCTCGGCCGCCCTCACGGAGAATTAAAAGACTTTGGTACACACTGCCGTGCTCGGCCGCGCTGCACTGCCATGAATGGGCTGAATGACCCGCCAAGGACCCACGGACCCTCGGCAGTGCTGTGGCTGAGGCCCCAGCACCGTCGAAGCGGCCGTCGAGAGAATCCAAGGCACACATGATTAATACAGCCCGCGGCTCGTATCACAAAACGGGAGCCATGGGTGCGAGGGCGAGAACGAGGCACTACTTGAGGTGCCCGCACAGCCGCACACCTGAAGACTGATTCCGAGAGTCCTTTTGTCTCTCTCGCACTGAACGTCGCTGCCCGTGAGTGTGAGAGAGACAGAGCGACGACAACGACTCTCGGAATCAGTCTGCTGGCGCATTGAGGCGCTCAAGGGGCGATAGACAGACAGACACACACCGTGGCGCGCCGAGGCGGTCCAGACTGGAGCACGCAGAGGAGGTGGACGTGGACCGATGCGGACGCACGGGCTGGCTTACACTCGAACAGAGTACAGAGTAGTGCGGAGTCGTACGGACAGGACCAACACGCCGTGCCTTTTGTCCGGGCCTAACGACCAAACGAATACACACGCCACTATACGGTACGGCCCAGGGCGTGGCGGGGCGTGGCGGGGCGGCGTAGCCTCGGCGAGCGATCAGCTGTTCCCACGGTCCGCGCCCCGCCTCGCCCCTTCGCCCCCCCCCCCTGCACGCTCTCCTCGCACGCCCTCGCCATCGACTGCGACCGCCGCGCCGCGCCACGCCACGCCGCCCTCCCCCGTGGCCAATCGCCGCGAGCCTGCAGCGCTTGTACGGAATAATAGGAACCATGATCATCGCCGTCACAGCCGCGCTTGTAGGCAATTAGAATTTCGCGCACAGAGGGGGCGTCGTCGGCGTCCTCGGAGAGTCTCTCTGCTCGGGCCAGCCGACCACGCCCTGAAGGGCAGGCCGGGCAGGGCCAGGCGGGGCCGGGCAGGGCCCACCTGCATCATCAGCATTTCTACCCCGCCCCGCCCGCCCCCCGCCCCGCCCCACCCCGCCCCGCCCCGCCCCGCGCCGTGACGAGGACCTTCTTCGACGGCGCGGGCTTTTCTCGGAGTCACGGGCAGGTCGTGCGGGTAGAGTTCCGTGCAGCACTGGCCGGGGCGTGGCGGGCGAGGTATGGCTGCATGCCCCAGTCCGGTATCCAAAGCAGGCGCCCGCCCCGCCCCGCCACGCCCCGGCCCTGTCCCGCGCTCCTGATGAACTTTTAATGCCCCATACTGCTGCTATACACGCGGCGTGGCGGCGTGTCGTGGCGCCGTGCCCCGGTCGCCGTGCTGCGGACTCTGCAGGCTCTGCGGGCTCGGCAGGCTGCAGCACTGCAGCGCACACACCTTTATTTCGTAGCGTACCTGGCGGGGCTGGCGTTGCGCACATTGTGCGTCGCAACGGCCTCCACTACTATACGGCCCTAATGCAATAACGATGCAACGATGCATTTATGCGCCGGGACACATTTGCACCGGCCGAGAGCGCGCGGGCCTGCGTGTGTGTGTGTGTGTGTGTGTGTGTGTGTGTGGTGTGCGTGTGCGTGCGCACTGCATGATCAGCATGCGGAAAGCCTCTCCCACGGGCTTTATGCCCTTGCCCTCTGTGCTGTATACCCTCGCGCCACCTTGCGTACAAGTCTCCGCGCGCGAGAGAACACACTCACACACACACTGACGCACACACGCACGCGAGTCCGACACGGACGCAGGCGCCGCCGCTGGAGGCGCCATGTGGCCTAAAGGGCAGCGGGCCGTCGAGCCGGACACACTGGACATAACCAGAGCGCGGCCTCTTTGGCGGCGTCCTCCTGGACGGCGTGCCCCTCCACGACGTGGGGGTGGTCAAAACCCCGGAGTCGCTAAATGGGACTCGAACTGAACGTGTGACCTGACCCCACCAATGGATTGCTCTCCGAACGAGGAATCCATTGGTGGGGTCGAAAGCTCGGTTCGAGTTCTATTCAGCGACTCTAGAGCTGAAAACGCGTTTAGAGTTTTGGCCGCCGGCGCCGGTCTTCTGGCCCACCATGCGTCTCCGAGCCGCTACTTACAAGCCTTAGGGCGCCCAGACCAAGGCGCCTCCCCGGCTGCCCGACACGACACACGCATAAATCGCGGCGGCCGTCAAAGTGCGCGGCGCGGCGAGTTTTGCGAGGCAAAAGAGCGTCGCGGCGCCACCAAGCAGGCCGAGGAGGCCGCCGTCCTGGTCTATCACCGCCGATATGTACGCCCCGCAACGAACGGCTCTGAATAAAATAAGCATTGACCCAAAACGTCCATAAAGCAGCGCGCAAAGCGCGGTGCCCATCCACACATACACACACACACAGCTCTCTCTCTCTCTCTCTCTCTCTCTCTCTCTCTCTCTCTCTCCCACTCACCTGGGCTGGGGCTGGCCACTCGCACCTGCAGCTGGAGCTCCTTGGGCTTGGGCGTGGCCGACAGCTGCGGGGAGAAGTGCGGCACCTGCAGCACCACGGCCGGCGCCTTGACGCTCAGGTCCACGGGCTCCATCTGTACCGGGGGCACCGCCGCCTGCAACACACGGTCCGTCATCATCACCCTGGTGAGCAGCGACACACCGCGACACACACACACACACACACACACACACACACACACACACACACACACACACACACACACACACACACACGTGTACAAAACGCTGCCGGACGCCGCGCGAATTTCCCCCTTTTCCGTACAGTTGGGCCACAAACACGCCTCATGCATAATCCAAGAGAATGCTGCTGCTGTGCGGAGGCAGGCAGCCAGGCAGGCAGCCAGGCCCGGTACGGCACGGCCCTGGAGCCTCCAGCATCTCCCTGCCGGCCCTGCCGGTCCCTCGGAGCAAACAGTCTGTACTTACAACACGCTACTTGAAATTCCTCGTCGTGGCCAGTTAGTTTTCCACGGACTTCCCTTCCGCCCCTGCGGCCCTTCACTCCCACATGGCCCGGGCGGGCCGCGATGTTGTTTTTCAGAAAAACATGCAAGAACTGCCGAAATGGGATTGTAATTCAGGAAGCGGCGTGACCTTGGCAGCCATAGAGAGCAGAAAACGCTAAATCTGATGATTTTTTTTCCTGTTTTAGTTTAGAATAAATTAAGCACGCGGGCTGCGTACCGGCCGCGGCGGATTCGAACGAAACCCCGCGTGCGTGGACGCGACCTGCGAACTCCGACCCCCACTGCACACCGCGCCCTCGCTCCCTACTTGGCCAAACACACACAGACGCAGTGCGTGTCGCAGCCAAAAGGCACCTAATCTAACCGTTTCCCTTTGTCCCTGCACGGCGAGAATGTGAGAGAATCCTTGGAAAGCGGAAGACTCCGACGAAGACGACCCATAGTCACCCGACCCCGCGTGTGCAGAATTAGAATTACCAACGCAAAATACCATTCAAACTTCCCGCGCGCGCGCGCGCGCCGTCCTCTTTCCATTATTTTCTTTCTCGCCACGTTGTTTACTTTTTTTCCAGTGCCGCGCGCACCTCTTCGTGGGCCTCATGGGATGCGAACCCGCGCCGTACCGTCCCGCCCCGCCCCGCCCCGCCCCGCGGTCACGTAGTCGCCAACACGTCCCGGTGGCCAGCGGCAGGCTGGGCAAGCGAAGCGCGGCCCCGCGGCTCCGACGGCCGAGCCGACGGCCCAGTGCGCGGGAGGACGCGGTCCGCGCGAGAGGGGGGCTGGGAGGGGCCGAGGAGGGTCCGGGATGGCATTACCCAGGACGCCGTCCGCGCCGCAGTCCCTCTCTCGCAAAAGCAGCGCGCCGCCGACAAGGGGATTCGAACGCGCCCCGGCCGGCTGGGCTGAGGCTGATTCAGAAACGGTATGCTTCTCTCTCGCACTCGCGGGGGGCGTTCCCCAGGGGTGCGAGAGAGACAGAGTGGGCGGGCGGGGGGGGGGGGCTGGCGGAGAAAGTCCGGCAGAGGAGTCCGTCCACCTGCTGGACCGCATACGGCACCGTCACCTCGGCGCACCGCTCACCTGTACGACGGCGCACACGTGCGTGGCTGCGTGGCGCCATGGGAACGGACGCGCCACCCACACCACACACACACACACACACACACACACACACACACACACACACACACACACACACACACACACACACACGAACACACACACACTCACACGAACACACACTCAGCGCGGCGCGCGGGCGGAAGAGAGCGGAACAGAAAATTCAAAATTGCAGCCGTGTCCCCGGCGGAAGGTCGCGCGGCGCTCGGAGAACAAACTGGCAATGCATTACGGCGGCGGCGATTTGAAGCACTTCGCGCCGCGCCGAGGCCGGCCGCCACGCCGCCACGCCGTCGCACGCACACCCACGCCACTGTGAAGCCGGCCGGGCGAGTGTGAGCGGCCACCCCAAGGCACTGCAAGGCACCCACAGTGTGGGGGAAGGGTTAGCGCGGCGACGGACGGGGCGGGTGGAGGCGAGCAGGTGGCGCGGCGCGGGCCTGGACTTCCGGGCCCGGGGCAAAGTGCAGCCAAGCCCACCCCTACCCAACCACCCGACCGGTCGTTTTCGTCGCTCTGTCTCTCTCGCACTCGTGGGGCGTCGCGTGTGGGTGCGAGAGAGACGGAGCGACGAAAAACGACCCTCGGAACCAGTCTGCGGGCGCAGCGCGTGTTTGTGTTTCTGAAATTCGGCAGCACTTCGTCGTCCTCGCACCGCGCGCAAACGGCAGGCTCGACAGCACCTTGCCGTCGAGCGCGAAGCGCCAGGACTCCGCGTCGCCCCGACCGCGCCGGGCGCCGGGGCGTGGCGCGCGAGGCGCAAATGGAGTGATTTGAGTAAGTGGGGCGCCGTCGTGGCGGAGCGCGGCAGATGCACAAAGCGACACAACAACCGTCGAAAAAACAAGAAACAAATAAAATCCCATCGGCTTCCTTTGCTGCTGAGTCACCCCACGTCAAGCCCACCCCTTGCATGAGCCATGAGCCCTGCGTGTGGCGAGGTCCTAGTTGCGGCGGATTTACAGAGAGCTGACCGCGGTAAAGCATTCTCCGCCAAACAGTAAACGAATAAACCCTCTAGTGCGATAGCGCGAGGGTTCGTTACGGGCCTTAGGCAGCTGGCCACATGCAAATTAAAAACAAAAACTAACAGGTTCACTTGGACTTACCTCTCTGGTGTTCGGAGCCATGTCGGCGTAGGCGGTCCTTGGAGTGCTTCTACCGGGCCACCGCGTCGACTCTGGCTCCGGATCATCCTGGCAAACACACGGAAAGAGCATTCATCAATCTCGTCCAACAAAGTAACCCGTTGAGTTAGAGCCCATCTCGCACTATAGCGTCCTATCCTTTCTCCACGCCACCCCGCTCGCTTTGCCTAGCCTAGGCAGTGCCTAATCCACATCCCCGGCCTCTCGCGATCCACCTGGAGTGCCCGGAGTAGGCCCTGGAGCACCTGGAGTCCAGCCGGTCGTAAAGTTTACACTTTAGCGCCCCGACGAACGCCAAAGCGCGGCGCGGCGGGGCGGGGCGGGGCGGGGCGGGGCGGGCGGGGCGGGGCGGGGCGGGGCACAGAGTAGAGGGGCATGGGAACCGAACTACGGCGCAGCTTATGGTTGGCGATCCGCTGGACGGCCTCCCGCGGCGCCTGCGATAATCCGTCTGCGCGTCTGTGTGAGTGCGTCTGTGAGTGTCAGCGCGTCCGCGTGCGTCTGTGTGTGTGTGTGTGTGTGTGTGTGAGCGTGCGCGATGGCCGAATCGAGGGAGATCGCTATCGCTCCCAAGACTGTATGACCCGATGACCAACAGCGATGGCATTACATGCTTGTGTGTGTGTGTGTGTGTGTGTGTGTGTGTGAGTGTGTGTGTGCATGGGCATGTGTGGGCAGGCTTGGCGACGACGTGCACGTAGAGGAGGGCGCACGGCAGCAACTCTTTCCCCGTGTGCGTGCGTGTGTGTTTCTGGACAGGTGCGCCCCACCTGGCCCCGCCCCGCCCACCCCGGGCCGCGCCGCAGCCGCGTTCGCTAACGAACATTGTAAGCAGCGACAAGAGGCCGTGCCCGCCGCGTGCCGCAATGCAACAGCAGACTGATTCCGAGAGTCGTTTTCGTCGCCCTGTCTCCGTCGCACTCGTGTGGCGCCCCGAGTAGGTGCGAGAGAGACAGAGCGACTCTCAGCATCAGTCTGCCGCTCGCAGGCCCGCGGTCATTGCGAGGCAGAGCGCCTCCCCGCTGGTTTAGCGTTCCATCCAGTTTCGCCCGCCGAGACAAGCGCACTCACACACGCCGCCGGGGTCAGGGGTCAGGACGAAACGAGCGACGACAAAAAAGAGGGAAATACTGCCGGCCGGGGCGGCGGCGCCGCGGCGCGGAAAACGCGGTCCCGGTGCAAAGAGCGTGTTTATGAAATGGCCGTCGTCGCGGGGCTCGGCCAGCTCGGCCAGCTCGGCTTCCTGGCCAGTTTCGCCCTCTAAGTAGCAGCGTGACGCGGCGGCCAAGGCGGCCGGGCCGTGCAACAGCTGCCCGCTGTCCACCACGACCACGCCAGCACAGAGTGACCGCACTCAAAGAGGCGCCGGGGAAAGTCCGCAAGTCCGCGCACTCGCTCCACAAATTCGCGATTCGCGCCTCGCGATGGAAACGAGAAACGCGACCACCGCGGCGAGGCGCGGCGAGGCTGCACTGGCGGGGGCTTAGCCTCCACTTCCACGTTTTCGAACTCTTGCCGCCGGGCGCCGCGACCCTCGCTCGCGTCGTGACTCTGGTTAGCCCGGTGCTACGTGACACCTGCGCGGGGAGCGGGCGGGGCGGGGGGGCGGGCGGGGTGGCATCGTAAAGCGATAAATTGTGCCTGCGAGAACGTCGGGAACGTCACACGGTCGCATACTCCCCGGGACAATGATCCACACACCGTGACCAAAAGCACCCCAATTAAATGGACCTCCGCCTCCGCAAATTGGCGCCGCAGCAGACGACGGCCGCAGCTCCCATTCCATCTGGATCAATAAAACGTGTCTCGCCGATAAGCGGCCCAGCCCCCCGCCGCGCCCCGCCGCCGGGCCCGGCCACGCCCTGCCACGCCCTGCCGCACCCCAACGAACCCCGCCACGCCCCTGGACCGTGTACGGGCCCGGCGGACCGTAGGGGACGCTACAACAGGTGCATCACGGCGCGGCGAGGCATCTCCGTGGCGCCCCGCCCCGCCGCCCCCTCCGCTGCCGCCGTCCGCGCCCACCTCGGCGAGAACCTTCTCGGAAGCCGTCGGGTCGGGTCACCCGGCCCGAATAGAGCGTCGCCAAAACAGAGCCCTCGGCGCACAGTGGGCCAGAAGACCGGTGGAGCGGCCAAAATTCGAGACGCGTTTCGAGCTCCGAGCCGCTACATCGGACTCGAACCGAGCGTGAGACCCCACCAATGGATTCCTCGTTCGGAGAGCACGGTCGGTTCGAGTCCCTTTTAGTGACTCTGGAGCTCAAAACGCGTCTCGAATTTTGGCCGCTCCACCGGTCTTCTGGCCCACTGTGCGGCGTCCCGTCCACGCCATCCCCAGGGACTTGGGGGCCTCGGCGACCACCCGCGCCCCACCTCGGTCGCATCGGTCCCTTCGGTCCTGCTGCTGCGACTCCACTCGGCGGGCCACGCACTTACACGACGCCACTCTCCGGCACCTCTGCCACCGCCAACGGCCTGCCTTGAACGAACCGCCCCGAAACCCGCGAGGCAACTTTCCCCGCATTTTAAAAACAAATCAAAACACGCGAAAACGGCGCCTCTTTTCTTCGCACAGCGTCGCCGTGTTCGACACGGCGCTACACATGTCAACAACCCGCGCGCGGCGGCGTGCGACACACACACACACTCACACACACCTGCCGCTTTTGAATCTAATTTACGCGACACAAGAGTGCACTTCGCGGTCCGCCGGCGCGCACGTAGGCGACACAGGCGCGATGCAGCCAGAGGGGCGTGAGCGAGCGTCCCAGCGCCTCGGCGTCGCGGCCTGCCCGCCTGCCCGCGGCGCCGCCTCACGTGTCTTGGCCGGCCCCGCGCCCCGCCGCGCCCCGCCGCCGCGGAGGTGAGAACACGCCGCGGCGGGCATTAGGATGCGGAGCGGAAAACCTCCTGGAGCAATACACACCGCGCCAACCTGTACCGGCTCATCTGGGGCGTGCCTCGCCGCGGCGGGGCGGAGCACCGCTCCGGGCGGGGCAGGACACGAGGGCTGCGGTCCAGAAAATCATCGGCTAATCGCACGCCTCGACACGTGTTTCATCTCGCCTGTTCGCTGCCGCGCCGTGCCGCGTCTCCTCCATGGAGTGGCATAACAGCAACAACACCTGCGCCGCCGTCGTCCCCTCCCTCCCCTGCGGCTACTTGAGGTGGCCGACGGCCCCGTCGGGCTGCGGGCCCCGCCGCTGACGTGCCGAAGTCTCTCTCAAGTCGAGCACGCGCGTTCGGGTTCCAGCAGCGCCATTCCCCATTCACGGAGCCAATAAAGTGGCTGAGCGGGCCGGGTCTCCTGCGGCGCTGCCTAGTGGGTCTCGCTGCCCCTTGCTTGGGGCCGCTCTGCAGCCCCCAGACTGAAAACTGAGCCCTAAAATCCCCACGCGTTCCAAGAGCCTAAAAGTCTACTCACGGCGCGACCCGCGGCACCCGCGGCCTGGACGTTCCGACCGATGCTATCTCGGAGGCGCACGCCACGCAGCAGCACGGCCAGCACGGCCAGCACGGCGTGCGGCACGCGCATCGAACTGCCACACAAGCCTATGCCGCCGTTTCCGCGGTCCGCGGTGTCTCTTTCGTACTCCGCGGGAGAAGGGGGGGGCGACCTCTACGCTGTGACACGCCCGGCCCGGAGCCCGGCCCGCCCCTAATGGTTTCGCTCGCACACTTTGCCTGTAATTGCGCACAGTTAGGCCCCTCCCGTCCCGGCCCCGTCCCGGCCGGCCCGGCGCCCGGTCACGGAAGTACCTGGAAGCAGCGCCTGGGAGCAGTGCCAGCGGGCAGCACCCGGGCCGCCACTGCGCCGCGCGTGCGCGGTCCAGCCCAGCGACTCTGTCTGTCTCCGTCGCACTCATGCGGCTCCCCATGAGGGTGCGAGGGAGACAGAGCGGCAAACCGCTCTCCTGCGGCAGGGGGCTACCGCGGCGCGACGTCCAAATTCAACCGGACCTGCTCGCTCGTTCGTTTGAAACGGCCGCCGCGCCGCGGGGAGACGTGCCGAGTGAGCTGCTGGAGCGGCCTGCTGGAGAAGCAGTCTGCAGTAACACACGCGGCGGGGGCCGGCCGCCGGTCTGATCCAGAGGCACGCCGTCGTCGTCGTCCTGGGGGCTGAGGCTGAGGGATCCGAGGGCCAATAATCGGCCACACAGGACGCGCCCACCATTAGCGCCCCATCCATCACTGAGGCGGCGACACTGGCCGCACCGATTATGAGGCGGCCGACGCCGAGGCCGCCGCCAGCCCCAGCACCACCAGCACCGCCAGCACCGCCAGTAGCGACCATCACGGTAGTTTAGCGTCCACCGAGGCGCGGCGCGGGAGAGCCCTCCTCGCGCCACAACCGGGCTGCTGCTGCTCCGCTGCTCCCGGTCGGAGAAATAAATGACTCTTTGGGCTGCGTCTCAATCTCCACACGCTGCGCCGCGCGGACCGAAAGGGCCCCACCGCGATGACCCAAAACCGGGCGCTGCCGGCCTCGGCCGCCCAGCCCAGCCCGCCGCCGTGCCATGCGTGCGTGTCCCCAACCCAGCTGGCTGCTGCGCCGCTGCGATGCAGGCATGCAGGGGCGTGGCGGGCGTGGCGGGCGTGGCGGGCGGCCCTGCCCAGCTGGGCCCGTCTAGCGTTCAATCAGTGCTGCACCGGATATGCGGGCGGTGGCGGCGCGGGAGGGGCGGGGAGGCGCAGAGGAGGGCCCACGCGGAGCAGGGGCGTGGCAGGGCGTGGCGAGGGGCATGACGGCGACGTGACGGGGCGTGGCAGGCGTGGCGCGGCGTGGCGGCCACCGGAAGCACGCCTCCCACACCCACCGTGTGCCCCCTCCCCCCTCAAAGTGCTGTGTACCGCAGCGACGCTATTAGGCCGCGCAGAGGACCAGGCAGGCTCCAACGAGGTGCATGCGCCCGCCGAGCGCCCGCCGAGCGCGGACCGCGGCCAGGTACAGGCCGACGAGTACACTCCACCCGGAACGACCCGGACGCCACACGGCCATCAAAGCCCGACAAATATTTCATAGCCGCGCGAATCCGGCAATGCGATGATGACGACGGTGACGCGGCACTGGACAGGAAGCATCAAGCATGAGCATCGACTGCCGGCCGGCCCACAGTGGGCCAGAAGACCTCGTGGAGGCGGCCAAAGCTCTAGACGCGTTTTGAGCTCCAGAGTCGCTAAATGGCACTCGAACCGAACGTGTGACCCCACCATTGGGCAGCTCCGAACGAGGAATCCATTGGTGGGGTCACACGTTCGGTTCGAGTGCCATTTAGCGACTCTGGAGCTCAAAACGCGTCTGGAGTTTTGTCCGCCTCCACGCCCACTGTGCGGCCGGACCGGCCTCCGCGCCGACCGCGTCCTCGCCGAGCTCGGCGCGGGCAGGGCGGGCGCGGCGGGCACGGCGGCGGCCAGCGCGACACAATTTTTATTCCACGGTCCGCGTCACACCCACAAAGTGCGGCACTGTTCGCCACAGCGGCGCTCGCGTGCTCGATAAAATCGGACCGCTGCCCCCTTCCCTTCCCGCGTCACCCGCGCGGTCGCACCGGCCAGCCAGCCAGCCAGCCGGCCGCCAAATCAAATTGCCGAAGGCAGGACACACCCGATTTAAAACTGTTTTCCCTACACTCTAAATATGCGGGCCCCTGCTGTTGTTTTGGGCGTCAAATGGTGCCAACTTAAAACTTGAACCTTCAATGCACCTTTGTCGCCTACTTTCAGGTACCCCTAATAATTATTTAGCAAGAAGTGGTTTACTCCTGCTAGAAAAAAGGGAGCACAGGGCAGCGACAAAATTGGCTGTTCAGAAACTGGACGTCGTAAAATGTTTTCAGAAACTGGGCATCTTTTCAAAATTTGCGTTTCTGGTAACCTTTAGAGACTGGGCTGCCAAGGTGACCATTTTATGGGTGGCCAAGGCGCGCCAAGGCGCCATTTGACGCCCTCAAAACTGGAGTAGGCTTCAGAGACGAACAGTTTCAGGGCTATATTTCGAGTGTAGCGGCGTGCAGGTTGCAGGTGGTGCAGGCCCCGCGCACGTACACTGTACCGCACCGCACCGCGCACCGAGAAGACGAACCCGTTCCTCGCTTCTCCAGGGGTCTCGCCACTCGTCGCGAAACTTGCGCGGCTCCTTTTACTATCGACGTCCCGGCGGCGCGCCGCCCTGCCGGTGTAGGTACACTGCCGTTGCGTCCCGGAGGAGGAGAAGTAGGGGCCCACTTGGCACTTCCTTATTCCCGGCCGGGCGGGGGCGGGGACGGGCATTCGCTTCCGAAGAATCGTTTCGACGCTCTGTCTCTCCATCGCTCCAGACAGCACAGTGGGCCAGAAGACCGGTGGAGGCGGTCAAAACTCTAGACTCTAGAGTCACTTAACAGGATTCGAATCGAACGTGTGACCCCACCATTGGATTCCTCGTTCGGAGAGCAATCCATTTGGTGGGGTCACACGTTCGATTCGAGTCCCATTCAGCGACGCTGGAGCTCAAAACGCGTCTAGGGTTTTGGCCGCCTCCACCGGGCTTCTGGCCCACTGTGGACAGGGCGTTGAAACGATCCTCTGGCATGAGGCGGCTTCCGGCGGCTTCCGTCCGCGGCGCGGATACCGCCGCGGTGCCCGTGGAATGCGGGCCTCCGCCGCGGCCTGGCTGGGCCTGCTGGCTGGGCCTGCTGGCCCCACACACGGGTTGTCACCCCGCTGGGGATCGATGCCGCGGAGGGGCTGGGCTGCGCTGGGCTGGCTGGGGCGGTCGACGGTGTGCTCGGGGCTCAATAACCCCCACCTGACGCAACGCGGGGCCGCCGGGCCGCCTTCACACTCGCGGCACTCGCGGCCCGCTGGAGACAAAATGACTGGAACGGCGGCCAGCACGGCCTGGACGGCGACGCCACCCCCAAGACCCCGGCCGCGCCCGGAGCGCGCTCGGCGGCCAAGCGACGCCACACCCCGCCGCCGTTGGTCATCGTCGCGCGGACGAAAACGCGTCCTCGTCGCCGTCCTGGCGCGGTGCGGGGCCGTCCGTCCGTCCAGCCCAGTCGGTAATTGAGGGTTGTCGTGACCCGTCAGCCTGCCTCCACTTCACCCTCCAGGACGGCGGCGGTGGCGGCAGCCGCGGCAGCGGTGGCGGCTCTCGTTAAAAATCGATACGGCATAACATGCAATCACGTCATAACGGCCTGCAGGCTGATTCCGAACATTTGCCTTCGTCGCCGGGGTCTCTCTCGCACTCGCGGGGCGCCGCGTGGGGTGCGACGGAGACGGAGCGACGGCGAGGCGCTGTCCGGACTGAGCCCGGCGGCCCCCCGCGCACTGCCGCCGCAGCGCGGCCCACCCGCCAAAAGCGCCGCCACGCCGCTGCGTTATTCGAGTGCGGAAACCGAGTCCAACGCTTACGAGGAATTAGGCGACACGCCACCACAGTGTGGGGCCACGCCACGCCTCGAGGTCTTAATTCCGGAACGCACGCGGACGCGGCGCGGCGGGGGCGGCGGTGGGCCGCGTTTGGCCCGGCCAGCCCGGCCGCGTGTGCAAAACAGTCACGCCCGGCCGGCGAGGCGGCGAGGGCAAGCCGGCAAGCCCTTGGGGTGCGGCTGCTGTCATGTTTCGCGAACCGTTACGGCGGCGCGCAGTAAATTCATCACACCTCCCGCGGCCAAGCCGCCGCCACGGCCTACGGTCACTAATTAAAAACTTGTACGCCCTGTCCACGGACCGCGACGCACCGCGACGCGGCGACTCGAACCCCATCCCCCGCCGTGAGCCCCCCGACGACGACCGGCCGTAACCACTGCGGCCACGCCACGCCCCTGGCCGGAGCCCCCGGGCGAGCCCCGCCGTGGCGCGCCGTGGCGCTAGTCGCAGTGTACGTCTTTCGACCTCTTATCCTTCAACGACTATGATAATTTGGCGAGCCGGCTGCACGCGGCGAGGCGGGCGTCGTCGGCGCAGCGGCCTTCCGTGACTGCCTCGCCGGACTGGAGTCCGGACTGCCCCGGTGGGTTGGAGTGGCCGGCGTGGCTGCGGGGAAGCACCCGACGCGCTGCCCAGTGCCCTTTCGGCCCGCGGCCCTTTCCCGCACGCCAGCGACGCCAGCCGACTACCGGCGGATGCGGAAACGACGACGCGGGCCTCGTGGACTCTCGGCGACGGGGCGTGCGAAAACCGAGACGCAGGGCCGCGGGGCAAGGTAACACCCGCTCCCAGCTTCCAGCCGCACCGTGCGCCGCCGTCACCGCGACCCGCCGCGCCTCGCCTACTTTCCCGGGTCACGCAGGTCGCCGGTCGCCGCCGTGGAATTGATACGTCCACACCGCGCCTCGCCTCGCCGCGCCGCCCCACTGCAAGATGCAAGCGGTAGTTTAGCGCCGCGGCTTGGCTGCCGCGCCACCGCGCCTGCAGCCGCAGATGGAGCGGAGCGGCGCGGCGCTGCGGTGGGCTTGGCTCGGCTTGGCCGCCTTGTTGCGCCGATATGCATTACGACGGCGAGGTTGGTGGCATCGGCTGCGCGGCGCGGCCACCGCCGAGGACGTGATCTCGTCTGCTCACCGTTCGCCCCGTCCCGTCCCGCCTAGGCCTCGAGCAGGTGAGAAAAGCCACGGCGAGGACGGCGGCGGGGACGCTGAGGGTGGCCGGGGTGACCGCGGCAGGCGCGTTCGCGGCCGTGAGGCACGTTTCCATCAGGCTGCGTCCCTGCGAGCCCTGCCAGCCCGGCCCTGGTGAGAACCCCGGCACCCTCCACACCGCCTCAGACCGAGCCTCAGACGCCACCCCGTTCCGCACTCGGAGGCTCGGACCCAGGGCTCCTCGCTTCGCCGGTGTCGCCGGGGCGTCGCTGGCTTCGTGACACTCACCATGGAAACCATGAACCTGGAGTGGCGGATCAGCGCTCGGGGGAGAAGATCCGCGGCCGTAGCCAGCACCTGCGCGAAACAGGACCAGAGAGGACCGGGGGTCAGGACCAGAGAGTACACAAAGGCAATGGCGCCCACAATGGAAAATAACATGAAAAAATCTAAAAATAATAACAACAAAAAAAGGTTGCCATTCACAAAAGAGGCGGAGGCGTGGAGATCCCACGCCCGCGATACACAACGCCCCCTCGCGTGACCTTGGCAGTGCCATGACAGTGCCAGGGAATCCCCTCGGCGTGGCACACGGCGTGGCGGCCGCGGAGCCGCGGACGAGTCGTCCGGGACGAGTTGACGAGTGCGCGTCAAGCACTCGCGGCACTCCATTACGGCGGCGCCAGCCATCTCTCTCTCTCACTCTCTCACGCGGCACGCCCCATGAGTGCGAGAGAGACAGAGTGAAGCGCCGTCCGGAATCAGCCGCCAGCGCGCCAGCCCAATCTGCGGTCATCATTAGGCGCCACTGTGCCGCCGTCCTGCTCACTGTACCACCTGCTGCACGACGGGCGGGGCGGGGCGCGAAGTGGCGGGGCGCGAAGTGGCAAAAAAGTCGAAAGACAATCCTGGCAGCCTGAGCTCTCGGCCAATTAAAGCGCGCCGATGGAGCGAAGCGCGATAAGGGAGGTGTAACCCGTTCGGCTTCGGGAGCATCACGACCACGAGGGAGTGACGGTGACGGACAGCTTTGGCATTCATGAGGCGGCGCGCGGCGCGGCAAGCACCTGTACACCGCGGGGACGAGTCGGGCAGGGCCAAGGCGGGGCGGCGCGGAGCTGGTAACGCATTCGGCTCAGGTAGGCCGCCGGCCACGTTGATATCGTTTAGGGTCCTCAAGGACGGCGACGGCGGCAAGGACACGCGCCGCGCGCGGCCTACGCGGAGTGCACTGCTCAATACGTAATGGGCGGCGCCTTGCAGTGTGTCGTGTCGTGTCGCCGACGCCGTCCCTCGTCCGAATCGATGCCCATCGCTCGGCTCGGCCAGGCTCGGCCAGGCTCGGGCGCGCATGCATGAGCTTGTTGCGGCGATCAACAGGGCCGCCTCCGCCGCCACCGCGACCACCACGTCGAAGCGCGTCCGAGCGCGCGCTCCAGATGACACCCGCGGGAAAGCGGATGCGGCTTCGACCGGCGGTGCGAATTCGAAATGAGGTCCGTTTCCGGAGCGGGGGCGAGGACGGTGTGAGCGCGACGCGGCCGGCGGGCGGGGCCAGCTCGGTGTGAGCGCGGCGCACGCGGGGCGCACGTGAGCTGCAGTCGTGTCATTAGCGTGTGATAGCGCATCGCGCCGCCATAGGCTTGCCATAGGCGTGCCATGGGCTTGCCATAGGCAGCCGTGGCGTCGCAGTGGGTCAGGGCCGCCGGCCGCGCGCCGCCGCGCTGCCACCGCGGAGAGGGTACGCCGGGCCGTCGGCAGGCCGTCCACCGGGCCGCCGAGGTGCCATCGAGTGCCATCACACTCCGATGTGGCGGCCACCGGCCCGGCAGACGCCCGTAAAACAATAAAAAAGGACAAGAAAAAAGGAAGAAATCAAAAAATGAAAACGACCTGCGGCGACTGACTCGCGCGCGTGGCAGGCTTGGAAATGGGGCTTCCGCGGGTGTGGAGACACGACGTCGTCGGGCACCTCATCGCGGCCGCGACGACATCGTCTTCGGCGGGATGCCCGCGCCGTAAAACAAGACTCGGCGCGCCGAGTGGATGCACCGCAGTGGCCGCCGCGCTGCCCCGCTGCTCCGCTGGAGGCTCCAGTCCGGCGGACAGTCCAGGGCCGAGGCGGACGACGCGGACGAGCCGGGGGACAGGGCGGGGACAGGTCGGGAGCAGGACGACGACGAGTCCAAGGCCGAGGTTGGGAGGCGCCCGTCGTCTAGGTCCCAGGCACGGCGCGGCGTACGTTTGTGTGATGTGATGACATCCCGACCTCGGCGCGGCTCGGCGCGGCTCGGCTCAGCGTGTCTCGCGAGCTAAGGTAAGAGTCCAGCGACATCGCGGAGGTCAGCCGAGGGAAGGTCCCTCCTGGCGGGGCGGGGCGGGCGGAGCGGGGACGCGCTCTGTGTGCGAGCGCCGCGCGGACTTTCGAAACGCACGCGGCTCTGTTAGGGCAGCGCTACGCCCCGCCACGGCCCCGCCCCGCCCTGCCCCGCCCCGCCCCGCCCCGCCCCGCCCCGCCCCGCCCGCCCGCCACGCCGCGGCCTCAGCGCCGCGATTCTTCTTCGGACAGCTCGTCCCTTTTACCAAACGCCAATGACAAAGGACATCCTTGGCCGGCCGCACGCCCTTCTCGCAGGCGAAGCGGCGACTGACTGACTGACTGACTGATTGACTGGCTGGCTGGCTGGCTGGCGAGAGGACTGACGGAGTGACTGGCCGACTAGTTGACTGGCTGACTGACTGACTTTGTCGACCTTTCCCACGAAATGGATGAACCAGTGTACGGCCGCGCGTCCAACCATCGAACCACGTACACTCACACGCACACGCAGGTTGGGGTTTCCTGCTTCCCCTCCCCTTGTTCCGGCCATGCACACCGCGTGTGCGTGTGTGGCGTATGGCGTGTGTGTCTGTGTGTGTGTGAGTGTGTGTGGCGGTATCCGGGGCAACAATTGAATGGCCAGGGGGCCGAGGCGAGGTACAGAGATTGCGGGAACTGATAACCTGACCTCGGTCAGCGCGAGGGTTTAAAATCGGTGATGATTCCCAATGAGCGTGTCACTTTCGGAATTGTGGCACCAGCAGCGCCCCGCCCCGCCGCATTGGTCCTATCTTCTCGCTCGTGTGTTCGTTGGTTCGTTCCGGGCCGCAACACGTGTTTGCGTGGCGCGGTGTGTGTCATGTTCGATAATGACATCCTGCCCCTCCCCCTCCCCCGTCCAGGCCCACCCCGTGCAACGGCACGCCGGGCACGCCGTCGTATCGGACTAACGGAAACCGACGACGCCACCCCTTCGCTCGGCGTTCTTCGTTTTCGGCCTTTTCGGCCCGTCCCGCAGCATTTGTCAGACTCCCCGCGCAGTTCGGCGGGCGGAGCGGCGTGCTGGCGTGCTGGCTCACTTGGAGAGCGTAATCCTCTTGGCTGTGTGCAGTCGGAACGACGCGGCGCGGGGCACACGCCGCCACGCCGCCAACGGGGACACGTGTGGCGTGATAACGCCTCGCCCCGCCCCACAACGCCCCGCCACGCCCCGCCACGCCACGCCCCGCCGCGCCCCACACACTCGCGACAGACCCGTCAATCCGGGCGGAGCCCCGCTCTGGACACACTGCAGAGCGATTCCGAGCAGCCCCTTTGGGCGCTCTTCTCTCTCGCACGCACGCCCCGCGAGTTGAGGTGCGAGTGAGACAGAGCGCCGAAGCACACTGGACACACGTGACAAAGCAATTACCCCGGCGTGCGTGCACCGCGACTGCCGCGACGCGCCGCCCCCGCGGCCGCGTCCCCGTGTCCCCTCTGTGCGCACATCGCTCCCGATCGAAGTTACACGGCACGCCGAGGCCCTCCGGGCCGCCGCCCTGGGCGCTAGGCCGGCTAGGCCGCCCTGGGCCCCAGGTATGCCCCCGGCACGCCGGCCGCGGCTGCTACTCCACGAATATCGCATCGCCTTCGTGACCGTCCTCGCATCGAACGGGCCGCGAGCCGCGCCGCCGACCCGCGCACGCCATCGACACGCCCCCCGGCCGGGCCGCGCCGCCACGGGGCCGCCAGCCACGGATACGCCCCCGGGACTACCAGTGTCCGTCGGCCTGCCTGTCACTACGCCCCACCACGCCCCGCCCCGCCCCGCCACGCCCCGCCACGCCACGCCCCGCCACGCCTTGCATGCGCGTTATCGCCAGCCAACGCCCCGCTCGGCTCTCGCCAGTCACCAAAATGAAACGTCCCTCGGTGGCCCGTGTCTTCGGCAGCCCGGAAAAATGTATGGCGGTCGCGGAGGAGCGAGGTTCACGAACTTGATCTTGAATGAAGGTCTGCGGCGGCGACGCGGCGACAGAGTCCCGCTTGACAGCGTCGGCCCTCGTCGCGGTGCCTTGCGCGGTGCCGCGGACAAGACAAAAGCGGTGTGGTGTCCTCAGAGACCGCCAGGGACTCACGGCCGGCGGCACGGACTCGACGAGCACGCACCGCGCGCCGCGCCGAAAAACACGACCGGGGAAATGAAGTAGTTGGCGGTACGCGCGCGCGTGCGGCGGGTCACGTCCTGGAAGAGGAGGAGCAGGAAGGCGGCGGGGAAGTGGCAAATTGCTCGGAGGATGCGCGGGGCGGGGCGCCGCGTCCTTGGTTCAAGGTGCGCCGGCTGCGAGGCAGTGCTTGCTGTGCCGTGTGCTGTGTTCACCCCGGCCTGCAGCAGCCTGCAGCCTGGTGCAGACCAGCCACGCCTGGCCCCGCCCCCCCCGCGCCCCACGCCCCGCGCCCACGCCCCGCGCCCCACGCCCCGCGCCCCACGCCCCGCGCGCCGCCCTTGGGCCTTGGCGGCGTCGCATCGCGTCGCGAGCACCGTGGCCAACCTGCACCACGCCGTCCATAGCGAAAAGCAGACGACTGTTGCAACGGTGGCAGGCGGGGACACCAGGGCACCCACCCGCGCAGCAGCAGGGTTCTCTCTCACTCTTTCTCCCGCAGCGCATCCTTGCTCCCTTGCTCTGCTGGACCCCGACAGCGCCGAGTTTTTGTTTCATTTCCAATTTGCTCCCTTCGGTTCTTCGGCTCGCCTGGAGTCGAACCACGCCCAACTGTGGTCAGAGTTGAGTGCAGTAAAGTAGAGACGTCTAGACCGTCCAGACGCAAGGAGTTGGCCGTGTTGTTCTTTTCTGGCGTGCCTGCCCGGGCCTGCCCCGCCGGCCGCCCAACCCCCGTGATGTGGCTAGACCTTTAGATCGGATCCAACGGGGCGAACAAGGACTCGACACATCGGCCCGCCCCGCCCTGCCCCGCCCCGCCCCGCCACGCCCCCGACCGGCTGTCAGGCACAGCGAGGCACCTGTTTCTACACCGACAACTCCCCGGCCGGCCACCCCGCCGCGCCCCGCCACGCCCCGCCCCGCCGCGCCCCGCCACGCCCTGTCTCTGGACAAAACAAGAAACACCAAGATAAACTCGATGAGCTGGAGTCGGGTCGGGAGGGGTCGGGTGCGGGTGCCGAGGGCTGCACGGCCAGGCATCCCGCCATGCATGAGGCGCCCTGGATGTCCTGGACACCGAGCCGCACAAGAAGCTCGAGCAGCAGGCCGGCCGCGTGGCGCGCCGCGACGCGGGAACGAAGTGCAATGCCGCGCCGCGTGCTTGGTGCTTCACCATCGTAGATGACGTGCACCTGCAGACTGATTCCGAGAGTCGTTTACGTCGCTCTGCCTCTCTCGCACTCGTGGGACGTGCCGCTGAGGTGCGAGAGAGACAGAGCGACGTAACTGACTCTCGGAATCAGTCTGCAGCTGATCGACTTGCAAATGGTGGCAGGGCGCGGCAGGGCGGGGCAGGGCGGGGCCGATCACGCGAGTAGACGGCTTCGGACACCGCGGTGGCTCGTGTCCGCTCTCCGCACCCAAACATTAGAGACGTCCCCGACTGGGCACGGCCGGGCCGGACGACGGGACCACGCACCGGCCGCCTGTCTGCTGTCTGTCTGCCCTTCCTCGCCTCGTCGCCGCGGTTGGCGGGAAAAGGGAATGACCAACCAGCCGCTCGGCACAGACGCGCTGGACTGCCATTGTCCGAGTCGATTGCAGGCGAAACTTTAGTTGACACTTACCGCGCTCAGAGTTAATCCTTAGCCGCAACGAATCCCACAGACACTGCACTTGACACTCACACTGGCACTATGCACTGTGCGTCACACGCCGGTCACTCACTGTCACACGCACCGTCACAAACTCGTCACAAACTCGTCACGACACCGCGGCCCGAACTCGCTTACACGGCACTCGCGACGCGCTGCTCAGGCCGACGGAAGACGCACCGCGCCAGGCCGTCGCTCGCACGTGTCGACCTCTAGGTCGTGGACGTCGTCGACGTCGTCCTGGTCCTCGTCGAGCTGCAGGTGCGGCGCGGTACGCGGTCGGCCCGTACGCTCTCTGAGCTCGGTTCCGCTCGCTAGTCAAGTCACTACTGACTGACAATCCGGCGCCTTCACGCCGCACGCCGCTTGGTGGGCCGCTGGGCTGTGAAGCGGCGCGGGGGGCGGGGGGAGCGGGGCGCGACGGGGCGGGGCGGGCGTGGCTGGCTCGGCTCACCACGGTCCGGCACGCCCCCACCCCGCCCCCCTGGTACTCCGTACCCCGTACCCGTCCGCCGGCCCCCGGGCCGGTCGGTTCGAACCCCACCCACCCGCCACGCCCTCACGATCAGTTTGCGCGCCAAGCGGTGTGCTGGCCGCGCTGGCTGTGCGGCGCGGTGCGGGGGGCTACCTGTGGCGTGGCGCGAGGATGCGCTGCGCTGCGATGAGGAGTCCGAGGCCCCCGCGCCCCGCGCCCCGCCGCGGACAGTCCGCGGACCGCGAGGCACAGCGAGGACGCTCGGGCGACACGCACACGGCGCGCGGCGCACACGGCAGCGAAACGATGGTAACGAGGGGCCCAACGACAGGCCGCGACGTCGCTCTGTCTCTCTCGCATCCGCACGGGACGCCCACCGCCCTACGGGTCCGAGGCAGACAGAGCGACGGCAGCGGTGTTCGGGAGCACGCGGCGGCGAGGGGTCGGTGCCGACGGCACGTCATCAGGGCCATCGCTCGGCGTTTGCGTCGTTAGTGCACTGTTAGTGCAGTCCAGCGAGTCCAGCACCGCCCGGCTTGCCTGGGGCTTGGCGCTGGCCACTCCTTGGTGGAGGCCGGGCCGCGCAGCCGCGCCGCAAGCCCATCCTGTCCTGGCCGAGCTTGGTCGGGATGGTCAAGAGGTCTGCCGGGGCGCGCTCGGGGTCAAACCGGTACCAGCACTCCCAGCAGCGCCGCTAGGCACACTGCGAGCAAGCGTGCACACGCAGTACGCAACACAGTGTACGTACGTTCTCGGTGCACTCTACCCCGCCCCTCACGCGATTATCGTTCCATTACTCCAAGAGTGAATCCGTGCCGATTCGATGGACAAGGGCGGACGAGATGGGCGGGTACGTTGGGTAGCATAGTTTACGGCGGAGGCAGGTCCATGCTCGATGGGTTGCCTGCCTGACGGCCTCACGGCGCTCGGTGCAGCCGTCTGGCAGCCTGATCGTGTGCGCCTGATCGGCGCCAGCAGTTGGCAGGCGCGGATCCAGGATTTTTCTAAGGAGGGGGTAGTGTAGCGATTTTTGCCCACTGCCCGTGGGAAAGTCGTGCATATTGCCAGCCTTCCAGGCGGTCTATCAAGTACCCCCGCCTTACCTCCGCGCCCAGCACGGCAGTTGGTATCGTGCATTTTCTCATGTGGAGCACCTCCCCAGCAGGGAAGTTCTTTTGCAGCAATTTTCCTTCATCGTGTTGATTTTATTTCTTGACTTTATATTTCTGATATCCACCCCATTCCCTTCTATACCTAATAAGAGCTATGCCCTCCAGTGCTGACGTAGTCTTATTTTCCCTTTTTGTTTTATCGAATGTAACACTATGTGTTCATGCGTAAGGTGGTTGGTGATTGGGGGAGATTCAATAATGTTCAGAGAATTACTTCTAATAAAAATGTATTTTGTCCATGTAATGATAAATACAAACTATTACTATGACATTTACAGACTGCAATAGACTATACACGAAGTGAGAGAAACTGTGCAGACAACATGAATCAACAAATATATCTACAATTTGATTCAGAAACAACAAAGAGTCGCAAGTCAAGCATGCGAAGAAAATTTACAAATGCAATGAAATAAAGCTTTAAAAAGAAAACAAAATATAAATATATAGAGGTTTTCATTAACAAAAAAAAGTAAACAAAATGAAAACATTAATCAGAAAGAAAGTGGGAAATATAGTCTGGCACTGGGAAGACCGTTTATTTTTTTCCTAATTATCAATGTGACATATTTTTTTTATGGTGCTAGCATTTCTTCAAGTATGTTATGTACAAAAAAGACACATATTTACATTAAAAAAAAAGTTATGCCAGTTTGGGTACAATTTGTTTGTAGCTGCAGCAGGTTTAGCTACAAAATACAGTTAAGTATTCTACACAGTGCAGAAACAAAATATATTGTCATTGCAATACAGGCTGAGAATTATGCTGTGAAGGATAGGTGTTCTTTTATCAGTGTATGAGACACACATGTAGTGCCTAGTACATATAACAATTTTTTTTAAAAAGGTCTCGTAATAATGGCATTTGTCAAGTCACACTAGTACTGTTGTACAGAGCAAAGCTGTACTAAATCTGTGTCAATCCTTGAAATTAATTAGCATACCATTTTAACTTTACAAGCCACAACTGAGGATAAAACTATACAAAAAGTAACTAGAACAGTGAAATATCAGTACAGAACATTTTCTAAGTTAAGATATCATCAACACCCTCTTTGAAAGCAACTGAGTTATAAACCTGAAGCAGTAATTCAAATGACCAGAGTAAAACATAGGTAACTTGCAGAAACTCCTGATGAAAAGAGGACAGACCAGTATTCACAAGTGGAAATGGATGATACCAGATCTTAGAAAAGGAACTGAAATCTTTGGTAAAGCATCTGAATGGAGAAACAGATACGTACAATACATATAAATACACTTAATGTAAACTAAAATAAACAATACTGGTAAATGGTTTGTTTGTTTTTACTCCATACATCCTAGTCTGAGAAAAGCACAGGCCGTGGGAAGTGGCACAACAGTGCTCCTTTGAGTCTTATCAAAATTTTAATTATACTGCAGAGTATATAACTAACATATTGAGAAAATACTGACAGCTTTAAAAGAATGAAATGGTCAATGTAGGTCACAATAACCTGCAGGAGATTTCTCAGGTAATTGTCGTTTGATCACAGTAAAGTGCGACTGTGACCAAGCAGTCTTAAAGAGTAGCTCTACAACCAATACAAAAGGGTCTAAGACTCCGATTGGTGAGAGCAGATAAAAATTAATTGTGTACATGAGACAAGAAAGTACAAGAAAGTAAAATATTTGCAACAGAAATTCACTCTTGCTGAACTATAAGAGATAACTCTAAGTTCATAGAATGATACCATTGCCAAACTTTTCTTTTTAAATTTGTTACTGTCATGTTGCTGTCATGAACATTAACAAAGGCATATAGAACATATCATTTTCATGGCAGATTACAAACTAGGTTTGAAGGTTTAAGGTGATGTAATGTCCTGTGTCTGATGCTTTTGGAGTATTAACCCACATTCCTCAACACGATGAGCTCTTAAGTTCACTCAGCTCTGCAAGAAGCCGTTGAGCTTGTGTGTGCCCATTATGCTGACCATTAACAGTCCCATTCATTGTACCACTAGTAGAGTGGAGTGGGCTACCACTCTCACTGTTTGGAGAGCTGCCACTTTGCTTGGCGTATCGGTCCTTCAAAGTAGCCAGTGCAGAAAGTAGTCGGTTGTTGGCAGCGTCCAGGGCAGCAATTTGATGTTCTTGGGCTTCAATGACTCGTTGTTTGTGGGAAAGGGCATCAGACATTTTCTGTTGCTCTCGTCGAAGTTCGTCCTCTACAGACATGAGCCTGCAATGGAAAAAAGTAATTTGTTTTAGGACAGTCAAATAAATTAATTTATTAGTCACTGCTTTCAAGGAAAAAAGTATTCAACCTTACCTTGCAATAATATTTTTCATGTTATCCTCTGAGTTGGTTACGTCCACATCTCTCTCTCGTCGCTCTAGCGTCCTTTCGCGGTTTCCTCTTTCAGGTTCAGGTGTGTTGTTGCCGGATGAAAGCTGGTGCTCAGCCTGCTCCAGTTTCAGTTTCAGAAGCTCCACGCTTGACTGCAGTCTCTCTATCTCTCTTTCGTACTGTGTGGGCAACAAGTGCAAAATAACGTAAGATTTTTGGACACTCAAAAAGGATTATACTTTTGTCTAAAGTAGCCCTTACATTAAAGAGCTATAAACATTGCCTGACTTACTTGGTCAACATTTCGGTGGTTTCTCAGTTTACTGTTAGTCCTCCTGCTGATGCTGTCATCATCTGAAGAGTCTGAGAGGTCTCGGGTGGATTCTGAAGACAAGCGGCGACGAAGTTTTGGGCACACCTCATCTAAAAATTGCAAATAAGACATTAGTAAAATCTCAATTTTGTTTTTAAATCATGTTATCAATCTAGTTTGGTCCTTACCTGACACATATTGTCGGGACTGGGTTTGAGGAGAAAGTTGCTGCTGGCTGTTAGCTACCGCCCTCCAATTTGTACGAGTTGGGCACTGAGGGTTTGTCCGAGGAGCACGCAGTCCTGGTGGAAACCTTCTTGCAAGGGGAGGTGTAGGAGTGGATGGAGTTGATGGCGACAGATCTACTCCATTGTTTCCAAGACTCGCGCTTCCACCACTTCCAGCACTTCCATTCCGGTTGTCATTGAGATTCTCATCAGATGAAGTGCTGCACGACCTCTGCCGCCTCTTATGGAGACGAGCAGCAGAATTTAGAGAGTTGTGAATGCCATTTACTGTTGTGGGAAGTCCATTCACCTGCTGAAGTACATAAGAAAAAACATTAAGCTTTAATAATAATAACATTTCTGGAGTGATGTTTTCATAAGCTGCGGTAAGTCTTACTCACCATTGAATGGTTGTGTTGAAGATGGTACACAGGGTTGTTAAATGCCAAAGCAGCATTTGTACCATTGCTATTAATATTATTATTTCCATTAGTTGTGGCATTATTCAAAGGGGCAGAGGCAATATTGTTTGCGTTGTTATTAGCAACGGACAGATCAACAGGGCTGGAGCTCTGACTGCAATAAGCAAAGCTTTGGTATCCAGATGATGCGACATTTGACAGCTGTGAGATTGACACTTGGCTGCCCTTATTATTGGCGTTCGCATCCGATTCATTGTCAGCATAATGAAGCAATTCAGACAGTTCGTCTAAATTGCTATTGCCATTCAGGTTTCCATTGAGGTTGTGTGACACAGAGCTAGCCAGACGAGTTCCTGAACATTGCAAAATAAATTTTATAGCTTCCAAATTGTAATCAAAACCAAGGGATTTATAAATAAATAGAAAGATGCCTTACCTCTGTGGGTTTGGAGACACTGAGTGCCACACTGGTGAAGTCTTGTTGGACTCCTGCGATTAAAAGCAGTGCTGCTCTCTTCACTTGGGCTGAAGGCATTCCTCGGTAGTGTTGAGGCTCGAGTCATGGCAGGGGATGACCGTGAGGACACAGTCACACTGAGATGGTTGTTACCATTCGTAGCATTGCCATTCTGATGTGAATGGTTAGGCAATGGGCTACCACCACTCACTGACCCATTCACAGTTGGATCATTAAACCTGCAACATAATTACATTGATTTGAATAAGTAAATTAAAATTTATGATTTATGAGTGTTGTGCAGCTTATTGTGAAAATCTCTCTTCTTACCTGAAAATATTTCTTTGTAAAGATTGGTATGTTGATGGCGTACTATGAGCCTGCTCATGAGTTCGAATAATGCCAGCTGGCTGGGCAAGAGCCGCTCCAACACGATCTAGGATTCGATTCAAGCGGTCCAACTCAGCAAGACGACCAGGTGCCACCTTGCTGACGCATTCAGATAGAAGAGAATGAAGAATGCTCATTTGTTTTCCAAGGTCAATGTAGCCGTCAAATTCTTGAAGATGAAGGTGAGGTTGATATTCCTTTGGCACTGGACTCTGCAACATCATTAATTTGATGTTATTTTACTATACTTTGCGGGGTTTGAAGTGAATCATTTGTCTGAAGAAGCTGACTTACAGATATAAGCTTGAGGAAGTCATTCATAGCTTGAGCCTCCCTTTCTAAGAAATCATTCATGAATTCCATGAAATTTTCCTTCCCTTGGAACCTTGTGAAATTGGCAAGAGTTTGCAACGTTTTTGCTACTAATGTCAAATTTCTTGCACCCTTCTCATTGGGGTATTCTGGAAAAAGAGGCCAATGAGATTAGGATATTATATTAGGCCATGCCAAGAGTCACAGTGATAATAATTGACGTGATTCTTACCATGGGTTATGTTGAACAAACTGGGTGAGAGAATCGCTGGGCACAAGAAACGCAGGAACAGTGAAGCAGATATCAAATGTTGGCCAACATCTTCTCTGCCCATTCCTGCCAAACGTTGGCGGAACATATGGAAGCACTCCCTCAGTTCCCTGTAAAATTAGTAGCAGCTTTAGCACCGTCTCTTTAAAGGACCATTTTCCTTTTCTAATGGTCTAAATCGAAGGACATGGTATTTAACTTACAGTGGGAAGATTGTGTGACTTTCAAGTATTTTAGTCCAAGCCATTTCAACTGCAGCTCGTAGATTCTGCTGTTGTCTCTGAAGGGCAGAAACTGATGCCACTTTCAGTGGGTCAACTTCACAATCATGTCCTGCAGTTAAGACTGTCGCAACAAGTTCACCAAGAGTTTCTTGCAGGTAGCGATCTCCTGTTAGTTTCAGGTACGCTTCCATTGACTTTGTGGCAAGGGAATTGCCTCGGAAAGTTAAGCGGGAATCATCTGGAATGATAAAATAACAACATGGTTAGAAATATTTTCGGGCACTTAAACCACACAATATTTTCCAATGAATGTTTACAGTGCTTACCAACTCTATCGATATCCATCATCACAATATCAGCAAGGAACTGCTTGGCCAAACCTTCTCTCTGCATGACATGAACTAATGCCGTGGCAATGTCCTCTTTAGCTTTCACTCCAATCACAGGTTCCAACACCTCACAAAGTGGTTTATAATCTGATTTTAAGTACTGCAAAAAAAAGTGTTGAAAAAATTATTTAAATGAAAGAAAACCAATAAATTTAAAGGAAAAACACAGGAAGAAAAAGGAAATTACCTGAATGAATTCTTGGTAGACTTGGATGGGCAAAATCTCTACAGTCTGGAATCGGCATTTCACTCGGAGTGCAGGAGGATCCTTGGTGACAACTTTTTCAGAAATCACAGGATACCATTTTTCGGTGAGGTACCTGGAGGTCACTTCGTGCACTGGTATGCTGACACTCCCTAAAAGAAAAATAATTTAAAAATTAGTGCTTTAATCGTTTTAAAGTAAAAAAATTTAAATTTTGAAGAAAATAGACACTTACCAACAAGAACATTTTTGTCCCGTTTCTTCTTCCTGTCGGCCTCGCGGTAAAGGTTGATATTGATGACATTTACCGAGGGGAGGTTGTGGAAGTCGAAATGCTCTCCCCAGAAGCACATCTCCCCCTTCTGCTTGGAGGACGTCCGCGCGTACAGGGTCTTGTCGAGGCAGAGCTCGGCAAAGTACCTGTGGGCAGAAGGAAAGCGTTCCCGTTCAGCCGACAGGGGTCTGCATTCTACATGCGACTGGACTGCAGACTGATTCCGAGAGTCGTTGTCATCGCTCTGTCTCTCTCGCACTCAGGGGGCGTCCCGTGTGGGTGCGAGTGAGACAGAGCGTGGCAGGCAGGCTCTACGCAGACGCACCTCTTCTTGTTGGCCACGCCCTTGGCCTCCAGGATCCAGATCTTGAGCGAGTTGTCGGTGCGGCGCATGTGCTCCTGGTCGGGCTGCACGCTGCGGCGCAGGCTGTACACCCACTTGTCGCGCTCGTCGGCCGAGCGGCACGAGAAGTAGCGGGGCGTGCCGGCGGCGAGCGTCACCTGGAAGCAGTGCTCGCGGCCCAGCACGGACGGGTGCAGCGGCTTGATCTCGACGCCGCCGCAGCCGCCCGGCCCCGCGGCCGCGCTCAGGTCCAGCGTCTGCATGATGCTCTGGCTGGACAGCAGCGACTCGTGGGACCGCGACGTGCGCAGCCTCGGCGGGCCGCCAACGCTGTGGACACGAAGGAGCACGTCAGGGCGCTGGCGAGGCGAGGGCTTCGGTTCAAACGCACCGCCCTAGAGTAAGAACTCACCCGTCCGCATCAAGAACCCGCTTCCTCTCCAGCTTGGTGACGCTCTTGGTGCGCTTGAGGGGGTTGGCTCGGAACGACCTCTTGGAGAAGAAGTTGACTATCCTGGAGGGCGTGAGCTCGAGTCCTCTGCCGCCCAGCACCGGAGTGGCGGGGGCGCTGCCCCGTCGGCAGGCCTTCTCGTAGGAGGTGTCTGCAACACAACAAAACAACAGCGTCAGCACAGCGTCGGGTACACTATAAGGCGGCCGAGTCCGCCACCCCGCCGGTGCACTGTGAGTGCTGGTGCTCCACCCGTGCATCATCGCGGCCTTCCCCGCCCCGCCGACAGCCGCCATTGTCTGGCCCTGGGCGCCCTGGGCGCATGCCGTGACGACGCGACACCTCCGCGATCTACTCGCTGTCGAAATGGCGTTCCACCGCCCGCCCCGCCTCGCCCCGCCTCGCCCCGCCCCCCATGCGAGTGACACACACGATACCGAGTGAAAGGTGGAGAGGTGGTGCGGCCCCATCCCATCCCATCCGGCCGGCCGGCCGGGGCAGGGCGGCAGGGCGTGGCGTGTCCGGCCGACACTCGAGAAGAAGAGGTGAAAATGATGAGCCCCTCCCTGGTCCAGTCGCCCAGTCCCCGCCGGGGGCACGCACGCCCCGCACGCCACACACCGAGGCCGGTATGTGACAGGGCCGCCAGATGAATGGAATGGAGCGGCCCAGAGCTCGTTCCCTCCGCAGCGGCTGCTGCTGCACTCTGATTTCGAGAGTCGTTTTCGTCGCTCTGTCTCTCTCGCACTCATGGGGCGATACGCAGAGGTGCGAGAGAGACAGAGCGACTCTCGGAATCAGACGCCGAGCATTCCGCTGGCGCAGGGCGGGCCGCGTCCACCGCGTCATGCACGCAGCGCGCCGTGCAGTGTCGCAACGACACGACGGGCCCCGATATGCAGACCGACCGGCCGCCCGGCCGAGCCGACGAGAGCGAAAGTGCCCCCTTCCGGGTGATAGTTGCATAGCGGACCAGTGCACACAGCACGCACCCCCGCCGACCGCGCGCCGCGCCCCGCCGCGTAGAGTGGCCCAACCGCCCCGCCCCGCCAGAGAGCCATCCGCGGACAGAAGTGAAAGCCGCCGATAAAGCGTGGCCGGGCACCCGTAGGCCGCCGTGGGCCGCCGTCGGCACCACTGTAAGGCGAAGGCCCGCGCCCCGCGACGCGGCCAGCAAGCGCTCGTCGCGGTCCGTTTTCGTCGCCACGTCTCTCTCGCACCCCTTTGCCACCCCGCGAGTGCGACAGAGACAAAGCGACAGAGTTCGGAATGAGGCGAGGCCGCTGGCCGCGCGCGCCGCGACAAAATGAAGGCATACCTGTGCGCTGCGCCGCGAGGAGATTATCGCCGCTTTCAAATGCAGCGCCGGATTTAAATAATCTTATTCGCGCGGCGGCGTGGAAGGCAGCGCCCTGAAGGACCCGCGGCCCTCGGCTTGGCTGGCCGGGCCGAGCCGCTCACCGAGAAAGGAGGTCGCACTAGCGCAGGGGACTGGGCTGGCCGGCCGGGACTGGGGTTCGGCAAGGAGGCCGCCACTGGACGGCGGCGGAGCCCCGCCGCGGCGTGCTGCAGTCCGGTCGGGTCTCAGCCGCCACGCCACGCCACCACGCACAGTGGGCCAGAAGATCGGCGGAGGCGGCCAAAACTCTAGACGCGTTTTGAGCTCCAGAGTCACTAAATGGGACTCGAACCGAACGTGTGACCCCACCAATGGATTGCTCTCCGAAGGAGGAGTCCATTGGTGGGGTCACACGTCCAGTTCGAGGCCCAGTTAGCGACTCTGGAGCTCAAAACGCGTGTAGAGTTTTGGCCACCTCCGCCGGTCTTCTGGCCCACTGTGCCACGCCACGCCACGCACGCCGTGGATGGCGCTGTAGCGCGCCGTTTGCCGCGAGAGGCGCGTCTAGACGGCGAGACCACGGCCGGCCCGGGCACCCAGTGTCGGTGTCGGTGTCACGGGGCGGCGAAACGCGACGGACGCGCTAATAAAGAAGCCAGGTCGCCGCCGCACTGCGAACGCCGAGGCGGACGGCATGGAAAAGAAAGTCAACGGCCGGCGACGCGGCACGGCGCGGCACGGCACGGCACGCGACACCGACGGCGGCACGCGCACGGGCGTGACGCCAATGCCAAAACACGGCCCTGCCCGCCGCGGCGACGCGGGCCTCGGCCTCGGCGCTGCCTAACTGCACCGCGCCGAATCGGCCGCGCTGCCTAACTGCACCGCGAGGCGCGCTAGCGGGACTTCCCCGGCCAGGCGGCCGACGGGCGGACCGCGGAGCCGCGACCGCGAGGGACAGACAAAAAGAGCGGCGCCGGCCCGTTTCGGCCGGACGACCGCGACACTGGAAGGGAAGCCTTGCAGTGCGGCACTTGCAGGGCCATCAGGCATCGGGCGCCTCCCTGCTGTCCCATAAAGAAAATGAAACCGGGAGAACGTTTCGCTGGCCGGCCGACTCCCCGGGGCCAGCGGCACGGCCACGCCGTCGTGGAGGACTAATTAATCAACGGCCACTCCAGAGCAGGAGAAGGAGAAGCCAATCAAGGACCACTAGCCAGCACGGCCGGTAGGGCCGACACGGCCAGCAGGGCGCGAGCGGATTCCGACACTGGAATGCACGCACGGGGGGCGGCGCGGGGCGACGCCAATGACATCTCAATCACGCCGATCCTTCGCGGTCACAGACGCGACATTGGCGCGCTCCTTGCAGTGGCGTGGGCGCGGCGAGGAAGTCCCGACACACAGACACACACACAGAGGTCGCCTGCCCATGTATGAGTGTGTATGATCAATGCTCGCCACCTTGCGCGGCGGTGTGCGTTTCGTCCTCCGCGCGGCGAGGAAGGGCATGACCGTGGAGGACGTACGCGCGGCGCCGGCCGAGCAGGCGCGGGGAGGGGAGAGCTTGAGCCCCGGCGGCAGCCAGGCAGCCAGGCACGTGCTGAAATACGATCAAGGTGATCCTGGGCGAGCTCGAGGCGCGCGGCGCGTCGTGGCCGGCCGCGCTGGACAACGAAGCGCCGCGAGAAACATTATAAATAAAAAGTTATCGTCCGTCGGGAGGCCGGCCAGGCCAGGTCAGTGAGGGCGGTGGGGCGGGGCGGGGCGGGGCGGGGCGCGTCCAGTAAAGAACGGCCAACAACGGCGAGGCGCACAATCAGCGGCGGGGCGGGGCGCGTCGTGTACCAGTGTAGCCGTGGTGCGGCAGCGTCTCGACTGCCTGGAGTGGACGGCCTGGACGGTCTCGATGGTGATTGCGATTTATGGAGGCGGGGAGGGCGAGGGCGGCCCCGGGGAGGCCCTGGTGGCGGTGCCGCCCGGCGCCACGAGTCCGTCAGTCCGTCGGCGACACGCGTAACCGGCCGGGCACCGCACCGCGAGGAGCAGGAGCACGCCGACGACGTCGAGGAGAGAAAGAACAGCGTCGCTCCGGGCGGCGGCGTGGCGGCTTGAACCCGGGCCGCGCCACAGCCACAACTCGGTGGCGGCGGTCTCCTCGTTGCGTGCGCCTGCGTGTCTGCGTCGGCACGGCCGGCACGGCCAGCACGGCCCGCACCCGCGTCACGTTTCCCATTAAAGCCGAGGCCCTTGGCACGCGGACCCACTCACTCTCTCGCCGGCCGCCGGATTGGGAAAAGGCGGTCCGTTTTGAAGCCCGTCTTGGCCACCCCGCGATTCAGCACGCCGCGTGCCGCGTGCCCCAGGTGTGCGCCTGCACTGTAACGGCCGCTGATACGCGGCAGACTGATTCCTAGAGTCGTTTTCGTCGCTCTGCCTCTCTCGCGCTCATGGGGCGCCCCGTACGGGTGCGAGAGAGACGACGCGACGAAAACGACTCTCGGAATCAGTCTGCAGTGCATGTCGGCCTGCATTCGATGCACGGCCCGCTATGCCCGCGACGATAATGGGGAAATGGAAAAAACGTTTCGGCGGCATGGCGTGGCGCGCTGCCCGATGACTTGGCTAGCCTCCCCGAGGGGCTGGGCTCGGCTCAGCCGGCGGCCGGGCTCGCCTGACGAAACGCCATGCATATCGGGATTCAGATTCGCATTCAGCGCTCGGCTCGCGGCCCTCGCGGCACGACCGTGGCCCAGCCCATCCCACTTACCGCCCCCCCCCCCCCCCCCGTGCAACGGTCATGCCCGGCATAAATGCATCCCGGCCGGCCCCTTCCATGCTCCTAGTTGCAGTTGCATACACGTCGAAACACGCCAGCGGCGTTTGCACCCTTCTTTTTTTCTCCCTTCCTTCATTTATTCTCAAGTTGTTGTCTTCTCTCTCTGGCGTCGACATCGTCGTCGTCGAGCACTGCATGTGTTTCAAACTGGTCATGATCAGCATTGCGCGCTCGTGCATCTATAGAAAGCCTCGAACAGTTCCTTCTTTTTTCAGACTTTTTTTTGCTCCTTTCGCCGCACAACTGCATCGCTCGCTGCACGCTGGCGCGGCGCGCACGGGCAAGGATAGGGGCGTACCTGCAGTCTGCGCCGAGGGGGGGTAGGGGGGGGTAGGGGGGTAGAAATCCGCATAAATCCAGGTCCCCGTGCGGCTACACCGCGAAATAAACAACAAGCCCGGCGGCATTGGAGCCGGGGATGCGACGGCACAATGCGCAGTGTAGGCACGGCGGCGCGGCGCATACCTTGCAGGACGGCGTCGTCCGCGAGGCCGCCGCCGCCGCAACACCGTGAAGTACACCACTACGGCCTGCGCCAGCGCGGCGAGGACCAACTCCCCGGCGCGCTCCGACTCCGGCCCGGCCGGACGCTCGAAGAATGGCCAGGCCAGGCCGTTCCCTCAAATTGCAGTCCTAAACTCCTCCCACTGCCATGCTGCGCGCTGCGCCGCCGCTGCGCCGCCGCTGCGCCGAGCGCGCGGTCCCGTTGCCGACTGCTGTATGTTGGTTTTTTGGGGCCGCCGTGCCGCGCCGCGCGCCGCCACTCCTCGCCGAGGAGGCCATCAGTCTCTAGCCGGGTACGCGGGTACCTGGGACGGCCGCGACGTCCGTACACCGCGCCGCTCGCGGCCGCGCCGTGTCGAGATGGAGATACTCGGAGACACGGCGCTGGAGCCGCGGCTGGAGACTCCAGGCGGCCAGGGCACGGCCAGGGCACGGCCAGGGCAGGTGCACCGCGGAGGAGGGCGTCCCC